CCAATCAAATCCAATCCAATCCAACCTAATCTAAACTAATCTAAGCTAATCTAATCCAATCTAATCTAGTCTAATCAAATCTAATTCCAATCCAATCCAATCCAATCCAATTCCAATCAAACAAAACCAAATCCCAATCCAATCTAACCTAATCTAATCCAATCCAACCCAACCTAATCTAATCCAACCCACTCAAATCCAATTTATCTAATCTAATCCAATCCAATCCAATCCAATCCAGTCAAATCCAATCTATCTAATCTAATCCAATCCAATCCAGTCCAATCCAACCCAACCAAATCCAATCCAAGCCAAGCCAAGCCAATCCAATCTATCTAATCTAATCCAATCCAACCCAATCCAATCCAAATCAAGCCAAGCCAATCCAATCTATCTAATCTAATCTAATCCAATCTAATCTAATCCAATCCCTCAGTCCCTCACCCAAGCCTGTAAAGACCTCTGTGGTATATGGGGACGTCTCAAAATGAGGCGCGCCCTTTTTGACCCTCAAAACGTTACTTTAAAAAAAAGGGCTCGCCTCATTTTGAGACATTCCCATATGGGTGGGATATATTGGGATGTACTAGGGGAAATTGGGGTATATAGTCAGCAATGTCAATATCAAAAAACGTACTCCTTGGCTGCCTTTGTTTTTTCATAGTCTTCTGGCATGTTTTCAAAAATAAGTCAAAAACAAAATTGCTTAATCCAAGCCCCAAGCCCCTAACCTTCCCCCAAGGATACCTGTTTTTCCTTGGTTTTTACATGGTTTCTAATGGAACCAGAGACCTAAAGCAAGCAGAAACAACCACAAACAAATTTGCAATGCCAAGGGGGGAAAAGTGGCAAAGAGTTAGATCCTGCCACTTTTTTTGCCAGTCCCTCAAAATAACAACGAACCAAGAAAGCAAAACACCAAGAAACCAAAAAAAAAACAAGATTGCACACACCTTCTGTCACCTAAAGTACTAAGTACTACCAAACTAAGTACCCTAAAGTACTACCAGTCAAGACCAAAAAGTACTCCACAGTATTGGCACAATTGTGCAAAGTACTGCGCAGAGATGCATAGACCACGAACGGCAGAAAAGTGCACAAACCCACAGGCACACACACACACACACGCAAAAGGTCTGAAATTCTAGCTGCATCAAAAGTAATGGTAATGTGTACGTGTATGGTGTGTGCATGTAATATGTATGTGTGCAACATCTCTATGCCAAGGTTCCCAAGCCCGCAGTTCTTCTGCCGTGTTCGCAGCGCACTCCGTCTCCTCCCCGTAGTCGGATGTCCCGAAAACACAATCCTTCGATCAAGGAGAAGACCCTCCCGTGGCATGGTGAAGCCTAGAGTGGATGGTGGAGCATGGTGAAGCCTAGAGTCGGAAGCGGCAATCGCAGTGAAGACTTCAACCGCGATGTTTTGCTGCAAGTTGATGGGGCTGGCCTTGGCAGAGAGGTTCAGCATCGAGTTGAATTCAGTGTGACACATGAACCTGTCACGACCATTAAATTCCTGTTGAAAGACCGGTCATGAGCAGAACAGTGCAAGGAAATGAACCAATGATCAAATGGAGAGCAACTCCTGAGGAATCAGCGGGGAGATACAAAACACGTTTCAGGCTGAAGAAAGGTGTAGGAAGAATGAAGTCCCTCATGAAGATGGGCAAGTTGAGGACGTCCCATCCACACTTCAAGTCAGAGGTTCTGAAGAAGGAAGGGGGTTCCCCGCTTGGGCGGCCAGATTGAACAAATAGCTGATCGGCACCCAGCTGTGGGACACGTAAGGGCTAAAGGAATCTTTCCTGTGTCAAGATGTATGGTGGCCTTTTAGCCCTTTAAAACAGGAAATCTGTTACCAACCACGGTTAATTGAGAAATGTTGCAATGTGCAGCTTCACGTTGTGCTTGAGGAGCTCCTTCTGAAGTGCAATGGCCTGCCGTGAAGGCAAACATGGTGAATGGAGACATGTGCGCATGCAGCATGCACTGACCAATCTGATGAGGTAAGTTTTCGCTTCTGCATTGGCATTTGTACTAACTCACCTCGCACAAGACTTGCAAGGTGATCGACATATCATGGCACATCCTTTGCAAATGTAGCGCAAGATCATTTGACATCAACGTGGCAGATAAATCCTGAAAATCATTTGAGAGCAGCGCCCGCCCTTGACGCCACTTCATCCCTTGCCCCCGGGAGCGGAGATCCTCCCCTGAACCGCATGCTGCCGAAGATCTGGCGCACTGGCCTCAGTTGCTCGAGATTGCATGTACCTACGTATGTTCTTGACGGGTCATCACTTTGGGAAAAACATGGGGGCTGCCTTAAAAGCAGGGTTTTCCTCAAACCTAGGGTGAGAGTTCAAATATCATGCTTTGCTATATGATGGGTTATCATGGGTTTGACCAACACACCCGTCTTTTCCAGATCCAAATCCAAACCTAAAATCCGATTGAGAAACCCGATGCTTTGATTGTCAAGTTCCCAGCTAAAGCTTCCGGGGAATAATCGATCGCCATTCCACAGGGATTTACAAGTTGTTATGTATATTTATTTAGTAAAAATACAAGGAGTAAAAATAATTAGTGAGCTCCTTTGTACCCGATAAATGATTACCATCAAAGGCTGGTAAATCTTAGTAACGTCATGATTCATGATCTTTCCCTGTTTGCCTGCGTCTTGAAAAAATGGAAAGACGCTCTGGGGCCTCCCGGGCTCGGTTGGGGGTCTTGTGCAAAATTTTTGAAAGCCACTTTCCGTGAAAATCAGCATGAACCCTTTGAGTACACCAAAATCAACAGCTCCAAATGGGTTCTTCAACTGTAGCGTTGAAATGTGTTTCGGTGCCTCTGTCAACTCGTCGTTGAAATGCAAGTGGATCACCGGGATGTGGTGATCCGGATCAATGGACAAATGCAAAACTCTTCCGTCTCATCCTGCCACGTGGCTAAGTGGACACATCATTCATCATCACTTGATTCATCTTGGAATATCTTATCCAAAAATATGCTAAGCTGAGTAATAAACACCCACATTTACAAGAAACAAAACCAGGTGCAGGAGGCTCCTCCATTCCGTTCTCTGCCAACGTCTTGTCCATGTTCAATGGCTTCCCAAACTTTTCCAGGTATAGCTACATGCCACCCCAGCTTTGCTCACTTGCCATGTAAGCCAAACCAACTTAACCCAAACCAACTTTTCATTGCACTTAGTTACTTGGTTCTGTTTCAAGTCTTCCACAATCACCTTTCGTTTTCGTGTCAGGACATCCCTGTGATTTTTCTTGTTCTTGTTCTTCTTCTTGTTGTTGTCGTCGTCGTCGTTGTTGTTTTGTCTCGTGTCTGCTGCTAGCGGACCTGGCCGTGGTGAAACAAACTTTCACTCAGCCGCGCTTTTTCTTCTCTTTGCCCTGGTGCACGACATTCATTCCAAATCGACCCCAAGGGACAGAAATGGCAATACTTAAGAATAGGAAACTGTGATAAATTGTGCAGCACCTTGAAAGGTTCTCGACAGCCTAGCAGCTTGCGTCAATCACACACACACACAGCTTCAGTGCAAAGCCTGCGAGATGGCCTCAATATATTTTGTCACTCTTTTCTTGCCTGGTCTTTCGAGTCTTCCTTTGTCACAGGTTGCTGAGGCATCTGATGATTTTCCTGCGGTTCATTGCTGCTCAGGAAGGTATCTTGGAACTCTTACAGCTCAACTGTGTCTTACAAAGCTTTCGAACGATTACAATTTAATAATCAGCTGTGCTTTCACAGTTCAGTCAACTCTTGCATGTTCTCACAGTGGACGGCCTTGCAGCTTCCTTTGGCAGATGTCGCGGACGGCGATGATGATAATTTTTCTGGACTCGCCTGGATGAGCATTTGTCCATGATCGCGGTAAACCATGGAAATCAAGACTATACGGCACCCTGGCTATCCGCTTTGGACTTAATTGTCGTCCCAGGAAGGCAATGGCACCCCACCAGCCCCAAACCAAGATGAAGTCAAAGTACACCGTGAAGAGACCCCAAACAGTGTGTGGGGAAGGAATTCAATGAAGGAGACACAAGCAACAGTGGCTTCGAGCAGCCAGAACTTGATTTGTCACAAGAAGCAACATTTTGTCTGCTGACCAGGACCTCAAACGAGGACATCTAAGAGAATTTCGCAAGATCGTCAAAGAAGGACCTTCTGTAGAGCATCCTGCAAGATCTTCATTCAATTACCTCCTACTAAGAACACCACGCGAAAATCTTCACAAGCACCTCCAATAGAGGTCATCTTCAAGATCTTCAAGAACTTCGTGCAAGGACCGCTTGAAGCATGTCACCAGGATCTCGACAAGATCTTCCCACAAGGGCCTCTAAAAAAAAATGGCCAAGATTCCTCTATAGCACATGGGCACTACAATATCTTCACGCAAGAAGCGCTGCAAAGATTCCACCAAGATCTCCAAAAGATGTTCTCACAAGGACCAGTGCAAGATCTTGATCCAGGGCGTCATACGAAGACATAAAATAAATCTAAGACAATTTCGCAAGATCGTCATAGAAAGACCTATTTGAAAGGGGATCTTTGAATACCTTTGCACAAGAGCATCCGATAAGGGCATCCAACCAAATCCACAAGAGATGTCTCACAAGCACCTCGACTACAAGTCATCTTCAAGATTAGCATGGTATGCGGCAGCCCCTTAGAAAGGAATTTCACCAGGATCTGCACAAGATCTTCTCACAAGGACCTCTACAAGATCACGCAAGCTCCTCTTTAAGAGTTTAATCAGGATCTCTGCAAGATCTTCTCAGAAGGGCCTGTACAAGATCACGCATGGACCTCTAATAAGACTGTACAGCGAAACATTCGCAAGATCTTGGATAGAAGGAATCTTCCAGAGAACCCATAGCAGATCAACCCAGGATCTCTGAGAATCCGCGAGAATGAGAAAATGCAGCCAGTATGCGCACTGTTTGGGGTAAGATGCAGATGACAAACAAGCAGCGTACCATGCCTTCCGTCTGGGCAGTGCCTTGCTGGCAGCCTTCGATACCGCTCCTTTTGGTGACTGCTTTGGTGCCAAGTTCATGTTATAACTGGTTATAACTATAGTTATACAAGAAGTTATGAAAAGTTATGAAGTGAAGAAAATATCAACTATTTTAGCACATTTTTAAAACTTAGAAAAATTGAAAAAAACACTTGTTTTTAGTGTATCGAAAACAATATTTTTTCTAATTATAGCGGTTGAGCCGCTTCGAAGTTGTTTTTTAGAAAAATTCGCGGTTTTCATCGCTTCCATGGGTAAGTTTTTCGTGAGCATCGGCAAAAGAACAGGCCACTGTGGGAGCGCGCCTTTTTAGGTGCTTTATGCACCTGCAATGGGTTAGTTTGCTCTTTGCAATCTCACCTTTGCAGTTTCTTTTCTTTTTACAAAGACAAACAAAAAAAAACAAAAAACAAGAAAAAAAAACAACAAACTGCATCTGACCCCCTCCCCTTGGGGTGTCTGGGAATATTTGGGGAAAGGAGTGTGCGAAGCCGCATTTCTTTTTGCCAAACCTTTCCACTGGGAAGTACCCTTCTTGCCAGAGCAAATCCAGATTGTGCGCTCCTGTTTCCAGTTAAGAGCACTGACAGACAAACAGAAAGACAACATTTACCAGCACGCCAACCAAGTGTATATGGATTAGTACCGTACTTCCTCCCTGCTTTGGAGCCCAATCCCGCTCCGCAGGGTTGAAGTTTTGCATCTGTTGTTTCACACATTTACTGTGCACAGGATTTCCCATATGTATTGCGTGGGTATGCACCGGGAAGACCTGAGTATATTCTCTTAGACCCTTGGGCCCAGAGTCCACTGTGTTGTTGAAGCAGGTAGTACACCATTCTAGACCCGGGTTTTTGGGTCAATGCTCCTATAGTAGTAGAGGATATGTGTCACATATTTTGAATTTCCTGGGAGCACCCGAGGTCGAGAAGCTGCACAGAATGCGCAAGTCCAAGAGTCGGCATCGGCAGCCCATGCTGCTCAAGATGCTGTTGTTGTTGTTGTTGTTGTGGTTGTTTGTCACACTGTTTATGATGAGCCTTGTTGATATTGCCACGTAAAGTGGACGCCTCACACACGCGTACAGAGCAAAAAGTGTGGACATCGCTGGTTGGTCATCGGCGTGATTAGGACCATTGGCAGCAAAAACCACACGCTGGATTTTTTTACGCATTACAAACATCTGCAGAAAGCAGACCACCTCATTCCTGCAATAACTGACCTGGATGCCCACCCTTGGGATGATTTGTTTCATAGTCGCCATAGTTTTTGTGGATGGTTTAATCCTATACCCCCATGAAACCTTGGCATTGTGTTGTCGTTGGGGGTTCACCAGCATATATATATATATATATATTTTGTATATACACTTTTTAAGTATACATATACCCATATATAACCATGAATACAAGTATGATATATATATATATATATATAAATATACCTTTTACTTTTGAGTTGTGGGTCAACCACCATTGGGATGATTTTTCGACAAGCTATGTCGGACATGCCCTTTCTTTGTTCGGATTTCAACACCCCTGGATTTCATTCATGGGTTGAACAAATCCATTGATTTCCCCCAAGTCTTACTTGAAATACGGAAATCAATCCGTATGGATCCAAACACCTCCTTAGAAGGCACTTAAAAGTCCAAATCCATACCTCTTAAAATCTTCAATCGGGAAATGGTTCTTGGATCCATAGGGAATTTCAATACCATTTTTGGGGTTTCAATTTTTGCAATTCAAAGTGGGGCCCCGGGGTGGTTTACAACCTCATCTGACCATGCCAATATATCTCCTGTAAACCCTAATTATTGTAGTTGTAAACCAAAAATTAGCTATCGACCGGAGCCCCCAGTGTACAAATCTGACGATGGTTTACTTTTGACTCTTTTGGGCACTGCTATATGTTTGTAGATAATAATCCCATGTCCCACCCATCTAACCATAATTGTTTCCGATCAACATCACAGACCCTATACAGTACCTATTGTATCTACAGTTATGGCCCAAAATACCAGTAACAAATCAGTAGACACCCCATTCATGGAATGATAGTTTCATTTATCAACATAGAAATAACTATAACTATGTTTCAAACCAATTCTGTTCTATTATTCGGGGGTTTAACGGTGCAATTACAGTTATGGCCCTTTACCAGTTAGTTAAAACCTCATTTATGGAATGATAACCACATTTTCAACCATTTATAACCATTTATAACTGGTAAAGGGTTTAGATTGTATTATTACCCTCCAATAAACTAACATGGCTATGGAACACCACCATGTTTCATAGGTATATTAACTATACACATGGCAATTTTCAATAAAATTTCCATTTATTACCAGATAATTAACAAATTGGTTTACCAATGGCAATCTGGGTGGTGGTTTGGAACATTTTTTCCATATATTGGAAATAATCATCCCAACTGACTAATATTTTTCAGAGGGGTTGAAACCACCAACCAGTAATTAATGGTAATTTTCTATTAATTACTGTATTTAATTATGTTTTTGGTTTCAATAGCTTGGTATGGTGAACTTTGCAACCAAAAACCTCGCAGGTTCCGGTCGGGGTCGATGGCCCAAAAATCGCGAGAACCGCGAGAATCGCCACAGCGCGGCCGCCCAGTGCGACACCAACATAGCCCAGTTGGTTGGATGGAATTGGGGTGCACAGTTAAGGCCCTAAATGCCAGCCATTTTGCCATAGATGGTAACCAGATGAGGGAACCCATCTATCACCTAATATCTACAGTTAAGGCCCCAAATACCAGATATAAATGGTGATTAATGTGGTTATACATGTGGTTTATTATTCCATAAATGGGGTTACTTACTGACTTATAATTGGTATTTTGGACGATAACTGTAACAATGGTTGAAAACGGGGCTTTAACCATGAAAAATATGGCAATATCATGGAAGATACCATGGTTTATGTACTGTTGAGGCCCGAAATACAAGTTATAACATGAGGTTATCATTCCATAAATGGGGTGACTTACTAACTTATAACTGGTATTTTGGGCTATCACTGCAGGGGCTTTAACCATGACAAATATGGAATATCGCATTGATATGGATGTCAGCAAAGCAATTGTATATGAACCATGCCCAATTCTACCATTCCAGTTCTGGCCACTCAATACGGAAAATGATGAGAAACCATGGGATTTAAGGGTACCCTATTTCCAGAGAAACCCACATGGAAAAGGAGGTTAAGCATGGTTTAAGCATGATTTATCGGGGCTTTACTTTAAAGGTGAATAATCTACAGTTATGGCCCGAAATACCAATTATAAGTCAGCAAGTCACCCCATTTATGGAATAATAAACCACATTTATAACCACATTAATCAGCATTTATATCTGGTATTTGGGGCCTTAACTGTTAGATATTAAGAGATAGATAATGGTATCGATGGGTTCCCTCATCTGGTTACCATCTATAGCAAAATGGCTAACTTATTGCAAGCAGCCAATATCAGGGATAAAAAAACATGGTTTTTAGGGGACTTAACCATGATCAATATCGGGGTGTATTAATATGGAGGTTTCCAGAAATGGTGGATATCTAAAATAGTTCGTTTTTAATCGAAACACCTTTTAAATTGTATGATTTAGGGGTACCCCCCAGAAACCAAACCTCCTTAGAGCCAATATTATGAGCTGGGAATTCCTATGAATCAGTCAGTTTGAACACTGCCCATGTCAGGAAAATATCCAACATTACCCTCAGGTAAACTAACATAGCTATTGAAAATGGCCATTTATAGTGAGTGTTCCCATTAAAAATTGTGATTTTCCATAGTTATGTTAGTTTGGACCGCCAAGATTGGTTTCTGTTCGTTTATTTCACTAGGTTTACCAGGGCTGCTGAAACCCGAAGTGGGTTGTGGCCACAAGGGGCGGGCAATGGGTCATTTTACCTCTTCACTTGTATCTGGGTTGTTGGGAGCAACCCTGTATCAATCACGGTCTATAGTAGAGATGTTTAACCACCAAAGATGGGTTGTAACCCTCAAATTTGGACATGTTTCAATTGTTTCTTTTTCAGAGACACCCAAGCGTGAGCTGGTATCTTAATTAATATTCCATTTATCCCAAGAATATTCCGTGCTATTCCCTCATATTACCTGAAGCATCCATGCCTCGTCGTTCAATGGTGACATTTTAGGCAAAAGCCAAGGCTGCAATTTGAGCAGTGATCAAAGCCCCTGTTGGTTGATGATTATAGGGGATTATACTACCCAATATATTGGGGATTCTAATAATCCAATCCAATAGGGAAATCCCTATAAACCAACCAGTACAATGGAATGATAGAGGGATTTTGAACACTGCTCATTTGTGAGCAATGCAATCCCCTCCCCCCAATATTAAATATCAGCTAGGCGAAACCCTGGTTGGCTACTTGTATTGGACCCACCTAGTCATTTTGTGGAGCCATGTGGAGGTTATATAATACTAGGGGATGTAATGAAAATGAATGAATATATATATATATTTATTTATAATTTAGTAATATAGCCACTATAGCCACATTCATCTCTGTTTCCTTGAATCCATAGGTTTATTGATCTAAATCTCCATTTTCCACCAAAAAAGCGGACACCTTTCGATTTTTTATCAAACATCTCGATTGGTTGACATCCAAAAAACTCGCTTGTACCATTTGATCATTTGGAAGTGTTGGCCTTTTGGCATTTTGGCTGAAATCAGATACATTTTGTTTCAGATGCTCAGCTGGTTTCAAATGCCCACGTTCCTCTCTTTTACTTTGGCGGAAAACGCGATTCCTGGTTAGTAAGTGGCTCAAAAAGAAAACACACAGAAACGAAATAATAATTCATTTCTGTACTAGCTTGGCCCATCTGGTAATCATCAGTTTATAAACCATCCCCAAAATTTGACAACAAACATATTTTAACCTAGTAATATGGTCAACAGTTTAATAATATATGTTTATTAATTAAAGGGTTGAACCTAAGGGTTGCCCACATTATTAGTTAACGAACAGGCCATGGCCCATCGGAATACCACAACGCCCAGGCCGAAACGGCTGGGCTGAAACTGAAGGTGCCGCGCCGGTGTTGGAGATCCGGGTGGTTTTTCATTGGTTTCGTCATGTCGACGTTCGGTGGTGCTCCCCAAGCCTTACCCTCTGGTAAACTAACATAACTATGGAAAATCACAATTTATCGTGAGTTTTCCCATGAAAAATGGTGATGGTTTATAAACCCCATGAATACTATAGATATGTCACCAACATAAACCATAGTGAAATTGTAGTTATGTTCACCAACTTAGCTATCGACTGGGGGCACCACCATAGTCACCATTGATGAGATAGTTTCACGGGATACTGATTGGAGAATTTTCACAAACAGGTGGAATAATCACAGATAAGAGGAGAACTATAACTATAGCATAGCATAGTATAGCTATAACTAATAAAATTACTTTACTTCGTGTGATCCCCACCATGACATTTACAAATTTATACATTTTCTTACTGGAAAATCTTCTGGCATTCTATCTGACATATCTTCTGACATTCTATTTGGCATTCTATCTGGCATATGTTCTGGCATATCTTCTGGCATTCTATCTGGCAAATCTTCTGGCATTCTATCTGGCATATCTTCTGGCATTCTATCTGACATATCTTCTGGCATTCTATCTGGCATTGTATCTGGCATATATTCTGACATATCTTTTGGCATTCTATCTGGCATATCTTCCGGCATTCTATCTGGCATATCTTCTGGTATATCTTCTGGCATATCTATCTGGCATATCTCCTGGCATATTTTCTGGCATTCTATCTGGCAAATCTTCTGGCATTCTATCTGGCATATCTTTTGGCATATTATCTGGCAAATCTTGTGGCATTCTGTCTGACATATCTTCTGACATTCTATTTGGCATTCTATCTGGCATATCTTCTGGCATATCTTCTGGCATTCTATCCGGCAAATCTTCTGGCATTCTATCTTTGTAACTTTCTTCTGCACATTCTTTGTCCCATATCTTCCAGAAGATATGCCAGATAGAATGCCAGAAGATTTGCCAGATAGAATGCCAGAAGATATGCCAGAAGATATGCCAGATAGAATGCCAAATAGAATGTCAGAAGATATGTCAGGGAACACTTGGCATGGATACTCGCGGTTGAGGTCCGGCAGGGAACACTGGGCGTGGATGGTCGTGGTTGACGTCCGGCAGGGAACACTGGGCGTGGATGGTCGTGGTTGAGGTCCGGCAGGGAACACTGGGCGTGGATGGTCGTGGTTGAGGTCCGGCAGGGAACACTGGGCGTGGATGGTCGTGGTGGAGGTCCGGCAGGGAACACTGGGCGTGGATGGTCGTGGTTGAGGTCCGACAGCGAACACTGTGGATCGCGAGTCGCAGTTGAGCAGGAGGACGAGGAGGACAACGAGAGGAGGAGGACAACGAGAGGAGGAGGAGAGAAGGAGGAGGAGGAGGCAGGAGGAGGAGGAGGACCAGGCAACTTAGATAAAATCTAACAACCCTCACCTGGCAGGTGGGGAAAAACATAACATACCATAGTATAACCATAACTAAAAGCCTCCCCAGCCGACAGATGGCTACTTGAGTCCCTTTTTACATGGGATGTCTTTCTGACGCCCCCGACGTCACGTCACGGGGCCCCGGGTTCCTGTTGGGTAGTCGGGAATTGGGCCAAGTGTTGTGATTCTTTTCGGAACCACTGGATGCCACTGGACAGACTATGACTTGATCATTGAATCATTTATGGTTGGTGGTTTCAAACATTTTTTATTTTCCATTATTTTCCATAATATATGGGATACTCCTTCCCATTGACTTTCATATTGTTCAAGATGGTTAAAACCACCAACCAGTATTGAATATGATATCCAGATGCTCCATGTATGGTATATTTACCTACATTTCGGTGATTTTTAGGGCAAATGTTGGTAAATATTCGATCACCAGGGATATTTCATGTGTGTTGAATCTCATTTCCTACTGGTATAAGATCTTGAGGAAAGTAAGAACTACTGTATACATACGGTATAGGTGGTAGAACATGGTAGAACTATATACAATATCTGGTTGGTGGTTTCAAACTTGTTTTATTTTCCATTTCATATGAATATATAATCCTTCCCATTGACCATTTGTTTTTTTTTCATGGTTATTGCACCACCAAGCAGATATTCCCATAGGATCCATGGTGCTGCTATATATGGTAACATGGATCCCATCAATATACCCCAGTTATGTTAGCATATATACCAGCACCATGGATCCGTCATGGGATTGTAAACCATCATAAACAAATAGAAAAAAAAAAACTATACGAATGATCCACGGACTCCACAGGCGACTTGGGCAATGATCCCATGGAAATTCGCCCCCAGAGTGTAGATTAAAATCGACGAACATCCACCAAATCAGATAGTTCAAATATCAAGTGAAATGTTCATGAATGAATATTGCTACATATATATATATATTTATTTATACATTCACCATAGTTTACCTAATATGTGGAATATAGAGTTATATAACCCACTTAATCGCTAATTGGGGTCACCACGTTCACCACGGCACCAGGTTGGGCGACCCATGACTACGGCCAGGTGCGCTGTTGGGAAAAAAAGGGGGCACATGGTGATTGATTTTCATCATAATGTTAGTTAATGGCACTTATGTGACCCATGATGCTCCATGTATGGTATATTTACCTACATTTGGGAGATTTTTAGGGCAAAGGTTGGTAAATATTCCAATACATGGAGCATCCGGGTATATAACGTTATATGTTATTCATTCAAAATGTCAGTTAATATAATTCATGCTTAAAATTCATTGTTATTATGTTTGTTAATGCGTGAATTTCACGATGGTCATGAACATTCTGTGAACAATAAGCATGACCTATATCTCAATTACTATTGTTCATTACTATTAATAAGCATGATTGACAATAATAGTAATATAATAATGATATTAGTAACAATGATAACAATAATAATATAACGATACTAAGAAATAACAATAGTAATTCTAAGACCCAAAAATGCGGTCCCCATGGTGCTGTGAACAAAATCACCATGGTTCGCATCATGGGATCATCCGTAACGGATCGTCGTCGTGACGGAAAAGGAGGAAAGGCCTAAGACCAAAGATTGTTGAAAGTGAACTGAGGTATGGTTACTAAGAGTAACTAAGGATATGGTGAACATAGAAGTTAATAGAAATTAATAGAAGTTGAACTATGTTGAACTCTCAGAAGTCACTAAGTTGATTCGGAATTTCATATCCATAAAACATACCGCATTTGTGTTGGTCAAGCCTTTTTGTGGTGGCGTGCCAATTACCAGATACAACAACTGATCGCCTGTCATGAATTGCAGATCCACTGGTTCGCTTGTTCAATACGTCCGATGTTTGTTGGTAAAACTTCAGATGTGTTTTTTTTTGAAGGTAAATTTCTGGTTGGTGGTTTGGAACATGAATTTTCTGACTTTTCATTCAGTTGGGAATGTCATCATCCCAACTGACGAAGTCATCTTTTTCAGAGGGGTGGCTCAACCACCAACCAGATTTCGTTGTTTACCAATCCCACCATGGAAAAATATCACCACCATGATATCAACCTAGTCACCACTTATTGTCGTGAAATTATATTAACCCTAATGGAGAACCACCAGTTTATTAATAGCAGGGGTACCAAATTTAATGGCAAATTAGAAACCCGATGAATAGTTGGAGGTGACTCGCCCGATGAATGGTCAGGGTCTATTCGTCCGGGGTTGACGTTGGATAGTTCGATAGTTACAACCCTTAGGCAATATGCTTACAATCACCATGCACCCAACAGTTAAAATTAGTTGCACCAATTTGGCTCACTAAACCCCTGAATTCACATTAAACCACCATTATAAATCAATGTAGTTCATATACGAATTTGTTTCATAAAACTGTTACTTGATTCCTCATTAAATAACAATTACCTTTTTGAAATACTTACAAAGTGGGGCCCGCAAACCTTATGTTTGGTGGTTTATGTCACCGGCAAATCAACCCAAGAGTTGGACGAACCACGATGTAACCCACTATATGGCCATCAAAAACTACCATTTATCATGAATCCATCATCAATAACCACTATTAATAATTGATTAAGAACCATAAATTTATCATTTATCATTTTTTATTGTATCATGAATCCCACTATTAAGAACCAGAAATATATGGTACAATATGGAGCTATTCATCATCGTCATAGGTGGTGCCATGAGGTGCCTTCGCGGCCAGATTGACAGCTGAAAATAGCGCTGCCAAAGAAACCATGCGAAAGTTCAAAGAAATCTATGCCCATAGGATCCATGGTGCTGGAAGATGAATCCCAACATTTACCCTGGTCCAAAATCACCCAGTTATGTAGGTAAATATGGGTATGTCTGAAAATGGGGGATTAACCCCCAAACAATTCTAGCCATAAAAAGTAGGGATTGTCTGATCAGCAAAACCATTGGCTTTTTTGGGCTACACAACATTTTCAGACAAACCCTTAAATATACTCAATATATTAATAGTATGGGTCAATACCTATAGTAATCCATTTTTAGTGGGTTATTCACATCCATTTTAACCCAGCTATGACTTGGGGTTCACCGATCCATATATGGTGAATCCCTCGCCTCGCGACGCGGATGCTGTTCTGTGTTGAGAAAACCCATGGTTTTTGAGGCCATGAAATCCCACTAGAAAAAATGGCGTTGATTGATAGTTCCAGAAATCCCATGACATCACCATTCAATCACCATTAGATCATCACTAAATCCCATTAAATCCCACTAAATCAGAATACATTATGAGTATTTTAAACAGATTTTTAGCACCATTAAAACCTAAACCAATGACATCCCCATGAAACCACCATGAAAATCCCATGGAAAAAACCAGGTCGTCTCCACGGTCTCCACCTCTTTGCCGCCACGCCACGACATCCACGACCAGGTCGAGACTGCGCCTTCGAAACTGCGCCTTTTGGCGGCGCAGTTTCGCTTCTTCACGCGGGTGCTGCGGCGACATGCGCCCGAGGAGATGAAAAAAAAACGGGTGGCGATTCAGCTGGTAGTGCCCGATTCAGCGAAGTAGTTGGAGGTACCAATTGGTGGTTCCCCATTTAGAGATAACTATAGAGTTATCATAGTTATAACATCAGACAAGATTGGATAGTTATCCTTTTCCCAAGTAAATACCATGTCAGCGGAAGTTTCAGGACCCTAAATTGGAGGTACTTACTTGGTTAGTACCATCTAAAACCAGATTTGGGGGGCATATGGCATATACCCTGAAATTTGGGCCTTTTTTTATGGTAGACGTACCTCCAATAAATAGGTACCTGAAATGGCCAAACATGACGATTTCATGGATTTTGCTGCGACATGTTGATGTGTTTAGCCTGTTTCATGGGAATTTACGACAACAAATGAATATGAATATGGTAAAGAAACCAACCAAAACATAGATTATCCCATACTCATAAACATAGATAGAACATATTTTACCATATTTCTTTTTCATTACCATAAAGCAACCCTAAAACAGTCGTAGAAAACATTCAAGATCCGATTAATCATCCGATTCTGCGATAACCACCATAGGTATGGTGTTTTTACACCTCAAAAAACATACGGTGCTTTTCAATCTGTAATGGAAAGTGTTTGGTACTTTGAAAATGAGGACAAGTGTTTCTACTTCTGTTGGAGCTACAAGAGGGACAAGGGACATCCATATAGCCATATAGCCAGTTGTTTTTTTTTCATCTTGCTGGTTAGTACAAGTATAAGATGTGTTGTAAAGTGTCAAACAAATCAAAAGAACTCTTTGTGAACTCAGTCACCAGCCTGTTACAGTTCATTTGTGTTAAAGCGCGGGGCCCATTTTTGTTTGGAGAGGATAAACACGTCCGATTGGATGGTGATGATGAATCTGTCAGCATGTTAAGCTTATCATGTGCCGTACGGTTTCTTGTTTGCATTCTCACTTTTGGATTGCTATTCCTGGCAGTTTTTTTTTTGGGGGGGGTGTCATATCCTTATTTTGATTCTCGTCATATCTTCTTTCCAATAAAAAACCATTGAATAGTGACTGTTCTTGGCCGAAAAAACACAGCAACCTGAAACTGACCGCAAAGCAAGTACAAACGCCCACATTTAAGAGCATTCGATTTGGCTTAGATCTCATCTTCTCTTTTTAACGACGCGAAGCTTTCAATTAGGCTTTATCAAATGTTATTTCTCAAATCAGCATGTTCCCCCCATCTTCCATTGATTGATTGTTGAAGCACTGTATGTTTCACCAGGGTTACCCCATGGTTTGTTAGAAATATATCTAGTGACATGGGTGAACAGCCAACAAGACCGCACCCGGTAGCCATTCATAACCCACCGTAAGATCCCCTGCAAAAAAAAACACGTCGTAGTAGATCAGCATCTTTAACCCCCATCTCCATTTGAAGATCATTGGATTTATACCATAAATCATAAATCCATAAACATCATGAAATGAACCAATACCCAGCTGATCAAAATCAACCTCAGGTTCTCATCCAAATCCTCAAATGTCCAGCTTAAATCATCACAGAGTTTTCAAATCCCATATACTCCATGGTGCTGGAATATTCATCATCGTTTACCCCCTCAAGCCTGGGGAGCAGGTCGAGGCTTTGCCCTGTGTTCATGTGTTTCACCGCACATGTGTCGCATGCAGCGTGCATATCGCAGTGGAGGGATCGCTGCTGTGGCAGAAAGTGCCTGGGCTGTGACAAGTGCCAATGCCTCGGGTGACACAAGTGTCGCAGATGGCTGGGAAGTGGTCATGGAGGATGATCAACGTATCAGTCCTGGAAGTCATTTGTCCTGCATGTTTCTGTGGTGCAGTGGCATATCGTGGTCATCGGAATAGAAATTCCCAAGTTTTCCGTAGCTTAAATCATCCAATTTTCCCGTAGCGCCCGGGGCTAGGAGCGCGTCTGGGCAGCGGAGCAGCAGCTCCAAGTGGGCGACCACATCTTAGTGCAGTGCGGAGACACGGGAGACCGGGAGGGTGCGGAGAAAGCATCGGAGAAACCGGGGGATTTACCATGATAAAGAAGATATCTACTGGCTGGTGGTGACTGGAACCATGGATTTTTATATATTTTTATGTCGTTCCATATAGGAATTTCATGATCCCAACTGACGAACTCCATGATTTTTCAGAGGGAGTGAAACCACCAACCAGTGTAAAAAGTAAACCATTCTTTTTATATTTATTTATATATATATATATTCATATATATATATAATTAATTGTATATAATTATAGATATATTTATAGGGATAAACCATGATAAAGAATATATATATATGCTATCACCAGGTAAAACCCATCACTATTTGCTGAATATATATATATATAATAATTGTGAATCATATATTTAACAGAGATTCACGGGTATTTTTTCATTGGATATCATTGGGATTTATTCAGGGATATATGGATCTATGAACTCCAAAAAAGATGCCGAAAAGTCTGAAACCAGGATAGTAGCCCGATGATGTGTCCATAAAAATTGCAAGATCTCAACTTTTCTGTCTGGGGAGTTGCGAAAACTAGTCGTGCAGCCCAAAAAGGCTTTGCAGCCGCGGCTGGCTGCTGTAGCTCTAGAGTTCATCAAGTCCAATAGGATTTTCGATTTACCCTCTGGTAAACCTACAAAAAACGATGGAAAATCACCACTTTTAGTAGGTAAATCAACTATAAACAGGCCACTTTCATAGCTATGTTAAATTACCAGAGGGTATGTTGGATATGATTTACTGATATACTCAATCCCTATGGATCCAAGTACCTTATTACGAAGTCTTTGGGGTATGATTTAGGGGGTTAAGTACATTCTCAGACAGTGTTTGGATCCATAGGGAATTATGGAAATTAGAATACGGATATTGAAAGTATGGAAAGTATATGATGAATGGGACATATGGTGAAAAGAACTATCACATACTGGTGAGTTTTAATGATGTAATCTAGCATTTCTTGTATCATGGCATGATTTTGGACACATGTTATTAACGTTTAGGGGTATCTCTGAATATTACAACATACCTCAAATGACAATGGTAAACACGCATTGTTCTGGGGGTGAGGGGTGAGGGTCTAGGTATATCTCCACTTTTTTTGTAGCCAACACTGTTGTACTAATGAATATTTATCTTTGTTCGCGGTATGAATGTGAGGTAAGATGATCAACTCCCTTGTAGATATCATTTGCCCATGGGCTGGAGCAACCCTAATTATATCTCATCCATAGAATCCCAGTTATATCCCAAGATATCCCCACTATACCATCATTTTGTTGGTTAGATCACCATGTTTTTTACAAGGTGCAGTGGATTCGATGGAAGAAATCCTGAACCAGTTGGTAACTCTTAGGTAACAGGATACACCAATTCTCAACTTACAGTGACTTGTTGGTTGATGGTTTATCCCATTACAATCCCATCAGGTACAAGGTGGTGCCCCCCAGACGTTTTGTTTATTGGTTTATAACCCCCAACAAAAACCATCGTGAAATTGGAAATTGTTTTTAAAACCCCATGAATACTAGTTCGAGATATCACCATATATCACCAACACAAACCATCTAGTGACATAGCTGGTTTTATTTATTACCATCTATTACCCTATCTATTTTAGATATCAAATATATCATATTTATATATCTATAATGGATAATGTTTCATAGTACCCTGATATTTATATTACCCTATCAGATACCTAGAATGGTTATAGATTACCCTATCTATAATGGATAGTTTTTATTAGTTTGTCTATATATCTATGATATCTACATTTTATTATGATAGATATATTATTTATTATCCATTTCTATATGGATATTTAACAATTTTGTTTGTAACTATCCCATTTTGGGTATATTGGACATCACCTTATAGTAGCCATGGCATTGACCATATACCATTCATGGTTGGGTGATGTTCAATGGGGACATTTAATGACCCATGTTTCATAATTTTCTTTCTATTTTTCTATATTTTATTCATTTTTTTAAACGCACCCGGATTCTGAGTGTCCGCGATTCCGATCACAGCACCGTCGGAACAAGGTGGGAATGCTCAGAGCAGCATGGCATCGTTTCTTCCACTTCCAACAGGCCGAAACGCCCAACGCCCGTTGGATGAAATCTGGGGAGAAAATGGCTTCCATATGGATCTGTGAATGGGAAAAAAAAGAATGGGTTGATGTAATATAGGTTTTATCTTAGGTTAGAGATAGATCTATATGTTGATGATATGTATATATATATATTCTTGGGTTTATAACGGAAAATCCCAATCTAAAATGGATGAGAACTAGGGATACCCCCATGACAAAACGGAAACCTCCGGGTTTGATAGATAGGGAGATATATATATATATATATATCTATCTATGTTGATGGGTTTTTAAACCAGCAAAGTAACCTACAAAACCAATGCGAGACCACCTTGAAGATGTTGAAAAAGTAGCAAAACTCGTTTGGTAAACCTACCGATAGCTCCATGATCATCCCATCATAAACTCCTATTGGAGTTAAGAATTTGTCTTATCCCATTGGGCATAACATAGCCATGGATATTTAACATAGCCATGGAAGCCATGGCCCATAGAAATAGATGTTGTTTGATGATTTACAGTTCTTAAAAATGGTGATTCTCCATAGCTATGTTAAACAACAAAAGGGTATTGTCTCCCTTACTATTATCCCATGATTATCCCATTTATTCCTTATCGTTTATCCCATGTGTTTCAGGTTGATATTCCATGATATTCCCACTACACTTTCATAAGATATTCCATACGTGTTCAAATAAGATATTCCCATTTAATACCCCATATTCCTACAACTTGATATTATATATATATATATACACATCTCCCTCACTATTATCCCATATTAGTAACCAATAATATTATATATTCTTATCATATTCCTCATTCTGGAATATCCCCACAATATGGAATTTCAACAATTGATTGAATTACATAAATAGCCCATCCAATTCCATATAGTTCTGGCCCTTTACCAGTTATAAGTCAGTAAGTCAGCCCATTTCTTGAATGATAACCTCATTGACAGACATGTATAACAATTTATGACTAGTAAATGGCCAATTTCAACCATATATAACCTCATTTACAACCATTCGTGAGCCTGGTTTTAAACCATGGATGTGTCTGAAAATGGGGTATACCTCCAATTATAGCCATGTAAATTCATCAAAAACAGGGGACATGACTGTAATTGGAGGTATGCCCCATTTTCAGAAAAAAACACATTGGGTACAAGTTGGAGGTATACTTCCATATCAAACTCACATTCTCAAAAAAATGATGATATCAAACCTCCATATCAAACCCACATTCTCAAAATGATGATGATATCAAACCTCCATATCAAAGCCACGTTCTCAAATTGGAGGTATACCTCCATATCAAACCCACATTCCCAATGCTAAATGTTGGTTACTGAAGGTAAAATGATGGTTCCATTGGAGGTATACACCATGGACATCCATGGGCATCCTCCATTCAAAATGATGATTCCCCATTGGGTTTAGGGCTGCACTATTGACATAGCTACGAGTTACCCCAGGCGAGGTCACAGCGGCCATGGTGACGCCCCTTGGGTGCGGGTACCCAAGAAGGGTGATATCGGGATTTCATGGTTTCCATGGGGATTTGAAGATTTTTTTTGTTGAGAATGTTTGCCTGCTGGAGGGTGAAAAATCAACTAAGAATGAAGTTTCGGTCGTCTAAGACGTCTAAGACTAGGTCACGGATGGGGACGTATTGCACAACGAAAAATCTTTGGTGAAGCTTCACACTTTCGAAAGCCGTAAGCCACAAGAATCGTGCGTTCCCAAGAAAAGTATAATCTAGTTATTTAACATAGCTTTATTGACAATCCCCAAGTAATATAAATGATTTATGATGATTGTTTACCTATGATTTCTTGTGTTTTTCCATGGCTATGTTGAGTAACCAGTATATAATCTTGATAACCAGGGCTCGATTTTGGGCCTGGCCAGATGGTCAAACGAAGGTATAACAATTATAACGTGTGTAAACAATAAGCAGTTGCCGATGATGCTTGGTCTCGCTCAATGGCAGAAACCAGTTCTTGAGTGGATTTAAATGGATTTGTTAAAATTTATCAACCGAAGGTACGTACGATACGCAGGCAATGTACTAAGCAGAACCATTGCGATTTGATCATAATCGAACCGTGTTGGGCCATTGGGACTGCGATCCAGGGCTTGAAGTGGGGTGTTGCAGCAAAGTAAATACCTCAAATGAAAAGATATTGATTTGGGTATTCGCGTTGAAGGTGGGTAATGACTAATATTGAAATATCCAGTTTGGAAGAGGGAAGACCTCAATTTTTACCTGCTGCTACTTGAACAGAGCTATTAACAAATCCGCATTTTTATATCGAGAACTGGGCCATTGTCCAGTCGCAAAGTGTGAATTTACCGGGTAGATCCAATGGCAATTCCATCCCTAAAACCAGGACTTGTCTTCTCAGGAAATATTAGGAGGTTTCCCAAGTCATGCGGGTACCAGATTACACATCCAAGTCATGCATGACCATGACTTCGTGTTAAAACAACCATACAGTTCAGGCCGTTTGCCAATTTTAAGTACTTATAGCCCCATTTACTGAATGTATAATACCATTTATAACCAGTTATCAGCATTTTTACAAGTGGTAAACGGCCATAACTGTAGTGACTTGGGGATACACATGGATACAACATTTTAAGAAACCCCCAATTTGAAGACTTTAATATTACAGACACCATTTGACCGATGGGCTCGCAGCACCACCCTCTCCAAAAAAAACGACCTTCGGTGGTTTTGGGGTCAAAACTCTTATGATAATCACCATAGTAACCATCTGGTTGGTGGTTTGGAACATGAGTTGTATGACTTTCCATATATTGGGAATACTACTCCCATTTGACTTTCATATATTCAGAGGGGTAGGTATACCACCAACCAGATCTAGTAACCATAGTAAATCTACAGTATCCTGTAGTCAGTCACAAAAAACCGACATAGACCGAACGTGGCAATACGAAGTGACCAGCGACTTGGCCCAGCACGGCGGCCAACCAGAGAACCCCAGCTTTTCTTACTGGTGCTTAGTACAATGTGAGAACCCCAAGATAGCTAAGTTGCCTTATAAGTGGCTAAATTCTATGGTTTATAGTAGATATAACTACAGTTAATGGGGTTTATAAACATGCTTATAACTGGGGGGCACCACTTTGTAGTAGGGAATGGATAGGTTGCTGGGGGTTGCTGGGATGATTGTTGATAGTTACTATGGATCATTCCCTCATTTCCCTACTAAGCACCAGTAAGTTTTTTTTTGGTATCCCATTTTCATGGTTTTCTGGGTGAAATATAATGTGAAATACATGCACAGTTTTGTTGATAATACATCAGATATTTTCAGGAAATGCATGACTGGGTTGGTGGATTGGAGCATCTTTTATTTTCCCATATATTTGGAAGAATCATCCCAATTGACTAATATTTTCGGAGGGGTTGAAACCACCAACCAGATGATAATACACGGTTTTCTTGATGAAGCCCCCACTTTTGCTGGTTCTATCCCCAAAAAGTCCCAAAAATCGCGAGCGCCCGAGATCGCGACGAGGCTTGATGAACGGATAAAGCACTTGCTTGTGGACGGTTTTGAACGGTCAATCGAACGGACGGGCACTTTAATCCTTGAGTCTTTTGGTATCAGTGGGATTGTCTACGTTCACCAGCTAAGTTTTTTTTTTTTTGCATGGTATCTAAGATTGGCCATGGTTTTTGAAGTAAAGAATACCTTTTGCCTGGATATGGGTTTGTCTGAAAATAGTGTGCCCCTAAATCCATTCGTTCACCATCAATTTCTGCCACTTTATGGGGATACCCATTTTTCGACACATCCATATACTCCATATTGGATGGGGTAAGGGCTCAAGCTGCTCGATCCAAACAAATAGTCAACGGTCCTAGCGACAATGCATTTTGGAAACTGTTCAGCTGAGTCCCGAAAGATTTTCTTTGGTGACGTATTTTGCACATCATCTCTTATTATATACCATGATTTTGCACGGGGACTGCGCACTTGGAAGAGACAGGCTATACGACCTGAACGGACATCTCTGGACCCGAGATTGCATCTATATCCTTTTGCCAGACCTATCATCATAGGTGGATGGTTAGGGCACAGACACGGGCTTCTGAACGTGGATCTCAAAACTGTTTTTGGCGCTGTATAATTTGTTTTCGCTTGCCTTCCCCCCGCAGGCCCGTTATTTCACGACGATCGTATCACAAACCACCTTCACTTTGCAGCCCTGGTGTGTCTTGTTAGTTGGAAAGCCGCCGGTACCGGCTGGTTGCAACATCGTATACAGAACTATCATATATATTTCATATATATATATATTTATATATATATTTATATATATATATATTTATATATATATACATACGGGCTTCCTAAAATTGGGGGGCCCCCAGGTTATAAGTTCGATAAAATTAAAATGATATGAAATGATCTTATTTTGTTTGATTCTGATTATTCAGTATACCATCATTTTAGGTAATCACCATGTGCGCTGCGCAGTTCCCAGAGAGATCATCCTTCAACAGACTCGTTTTTTTTCCTTCTAGGCCTTAGCCTGGCAATGTTCACAAAACCAGTGTGCTGGGCACATTTTGCTGATCAGTGTAGAACCATGAAGCTATAGGCATTGTGGTTTTGTAGATGTGCTCTTAACACCGGCACCTTAAAGGACTTAAAAATGACATCTCAGAGCCCCAAAAAAAGGCGCTACGCGTATCGTTGCATGTTGATCTGCTGGAGTTCTGAACCAGAGCAGGATTCAAATCGTGCCGATTTTTTTTTATATGCACAATTTTTTAACATGCAACATTCCATCCGGCGAAAATTAGAAGCGAAGACTAGCAAAAGGCGCTGGCATGGATCCGTGTTGGTTTTCAGAAAACAATGCTGCCATCCATTCCCCCAATCCGCGTTTGTAAGACCGTTGTTGTTGGAAAACTGCTTTGGCAGTGGGATTGCCACTGCGTGGTGTTCTTTGCGTGGACAAGAAATGTCACCGTTTGAGATTCAAACAAGCACGTGTGTGTTACATTTGGTGCATGTGTTGGGTTGCTTCGACTTTGCGACACATTACGCCACCTTGAAAGGCACCCCAAACCGAAAGGCCGACATGGCAGAGGATTTACAGCAAACATGAGTGCCCGGTGAAAAAAAAAACAATTTGAAGTTGGCCTTGGAACTGAAGACGCGGCGCTTGCCAGAAGTTTTTGACCAACCGGGGACTGTGCTTGGAAGACAAGAAGGAATTTCTAGGTTCAGGGATTGTCAGTTACTGCAAGACTGCAGGTACATGAAACTTGAAAATGAGGTTGTCTTACTCCCAGCGGCTTGGGGTCGAACATGTGCCCCACATTTTTTCCTATATATAAACCCTAAAAGTACCCATCAAGACTTGTATTTTACCCCATCAAGTTACTATGTTCAAGGTGGTGCCCACACTTAGTTGGCAAACATAACTCCACTAAAAAGGGTTCATGGTAGGTAGATCGCACTAGTTACCATTCCGGTAAACATAAACAAATTAACATTACCTAAGAAGTCAATGGGGGGCAACCCCGCTTGTTTATTATTTCTTCAACATATTCTGGGAAAATAGGAAAAACCTGCAGCCGTCGGTAACTATCGGTAACTATGAATATGAGATTTCAATGGGATGAACATTTTACCCGACCGGTGCAGGATTTTGCAACAGTATGTTCCCATGCCAGGGAAACAACACATGATGGCGGCGACAAAACCACAAAACCAAGGTCATGTTCTGGAGCGGAGACCGCCTGCAGAGCTCAACTCTGCCAAAGTTCATTCATGTTCCTTGGAAAAAATGATTTTTACATAAGAGGATATAATCCGGATATCATGGAATGCACGGGGTAGATCAACCAGGAACGGAAAAAATATGATGAATTTTGCAGCTATATATTATGGGTGGTTCTTAAGCCACAGGTTTTTAATATTACCCTCTGGTAATTTAACATAGCTATTGAAAATTGCAATTTATAGTGAGTTTGCCCATGAGAAATGGTGATTTTTCATAGTTATGTTAGTTTACCAGAGGGCAAAAATTAAACTGGTCATACATGACTTGGATGATTTGGGTGGAACCCTCCGTTGCTCAGGAAAACACCAAATGGTTTGTAAAAGACGAACGTGATATGCCCATTTGGCATACAATGGGTATATATAAAGGGGTATGATATAACTAAGCAACTTGATATGACAGTTGGGTGGGTCAAAAAATGAGGTATCACCAAAAAACATAGTTCAAGAGGGCACCTTGTTCCAAGACAAGCCCAAATGTGTGGTGCCACGGTCAAAAGTTGGAAGATATTCCGTGATATTCCATTTAACAATTTTCTTTAATAGGTTTAATTTGATTTTTTCTGTGGGGATATAGGACATTAATTGGTACCCTCTGGTAAACTAACAAAAGACAATGGAAAATCACAATTTTCAACGGTTAAATGCACTATTTCTATGGCCATGGCTTCAATAGCGAACTGTTTGACATAACCAGAGGGTATCAACTGCGTTCGAGTATGGGATTTTGTTGCTTCGTTGATTCGATGTTCAAAATATATCAGCTGCGTTGCGCTTTCAAAGAAATGCATGGCCAAAAAAGTGGTAATATGATGTTTACCCCCTGGTTTTGCCAAAATAGCTATTGAAAATGGCCATAGAAATAGTGAGTTTTCCCATTAATAGCATGGTAATTTTCCATAGTCATGTGAACGTTTACCAGAGGGTATATGTGGTTACATAATGTTAACATAATAGTTTCCATTAACCATTATTATTTGACTTATTATTTCCACACTAAGGAATGGTCATGAGTCAAAGAATAGTGGTTCACCTGCAAATGGAAGAACCCCCTAATGGGTAATGACCATGCCCCATCTGTTTGATGTTTGAAGGGTAAGGTGAGCAATGTGTTTTTTTCGTTGACATCAAACAGACTTGACTGAACGCAGTGCCGGCAAACAAAGAGATCAGCAAAAAACATCCGAATAAAATGTTGTTTGAAATGAACGGGATTGGTTGCATATTTGTGGATAGACCCCGTTGGAAAGGTCAATGGGTAATTGTTGGAGGATGAACCGGAAAAATGACTAGCAAAAAACCTAGTTGTTTTTCATGGAAAACTATTTCGAAAAAAAAACGGTGCGTCAAATGGGAAGTTATCCCCAACAACATGGACATTGCCGGTGACTATGTTGCATGAATTAGAAACTGGGTGGTGTTTGGAGACAAGACGCATTATTTATGCCACACGTTTATTTAATTATGTGCTCATGTTCTTTTACCAAGGCCCCACCCAGATTGTTAGTTTTTGTTTTTTCAATTGAACATATCTGTGATGGTGAGTCAACGAACCACCCCAAAATCTGAAGGGCGGACAGTACACCAGTTTGCGAGTTGGAGCATGGTAGATCTATCAAATATAATAAGAACGGGATAATTGAACCTGTGAACATATCTGTGACGGTGAGTCAACGAATCACCCCAAAATCTGAAGGGCGGACAGTACACCAGTTTGCGAGTTGGAGCATGGTAGATCTATCAAATTTTATAAGAAGGCGATATGAACCAAACAAAAACAGGGATTCTATATCATTCCAAAAATGTATAACACATGTTTAAATGTTCAGCGGAATATTGAATTTGAGCTGAGATGCGGCTGGACAATCCAAGTTGCCATCCAGTTATCCAGGTGTTATTTGTGTGAAGTATTGCTTTATCACCCTGGACTGCTGAAATATTGGTGAGTTATTGTGTGTATTTTCGTATGGTGTTATTTCATATCATGTTAGCACGTGATGAACCAATGGTTTGAGTGCATTTATTTCGCGTGAAACCTTTGTCTTAAACAAACATCTTTGAGATCCGGCACCCCCAAATCCAAGTTGAACCAAATTCGTTTGCATGATGCCAGCTGTGTATTGTGCACCAAAACTTGGCATGTAGTTACTGTAGACGGTGCTAAATGGATTGAATTAGCACGTCCGAAGATCCACAAAGTTTGTGAAACGCAGGGGATTAACATTTACCACCAAGGAAAATGTTGCCAATCCACTATAGGCCTATGGGTTTATTAATGCCTTCAAAGCCCTCCTTGGAATTTGATGGTGGGATGCTTTCCAGTGCCGTTCAACATACATGTGTTTTTGGTGATGCATTTGAGTCCTGAAAGATGGTGCGGTTCCAGTGACAAAACCATGGTTTCGAGGAGGATTTACACAACATTAGGACCATAGAGTGGGGATGTTTAATATTATGGGGATGGAATTATGTATACTGCATATACCACAAACCATAGAACTCACCTAGTTATTGAGCAACATAACTAAGCATTTGGGAGCACCACCTTAAACCAAAATCACCTCGGAGAATGGTGAGTTGAAATGGCATTTGCTTCACCATGTTCATGGGTATCTAAGCAACTAAACAGTAATTAGAAGGCTGAATCTTCAGGGTATCAACTTCATTTGTTCAAAGGTATTTGAGTTTAAATCAGCTACAAATATGTGCCATGGTCACAAGTTGGCACATAGGTTCAGCCTTTTTGGGTATGATTATACCAGTAACAGGTGATGACCAACGAAGGGATTTCCCTTCTTAGGGATGACTGTTTTTCGCAACCCCCAAAAAAGATGCCGGAAAGCTTGGAAAAACTAGGATGTTACAGATGATATTCTCATAATTCTCCCCATATTTTTCCAAGTTTGAGGAAAAGAGCACGAAGATTTCTTTGGGCCCTGCCCCGAAAAAAAACGTAACATCTTTGGTTGGTGTTACCCCATCTAACTATGGTTATTTCATCACTGTGAAGCCTTTACAAGTGAAATCTTGTGAACCCCGTGAGAGAGTGGTTCTTCGCTAGCTATGCTTACATGATATAAAATAATATATGAACATTAACAGTACCCGTAACATCTATTTATGGTGATTAACATCTCAAATAGTATATGAACATCTAGTTATGGTGATTAACATCTAAAATAATATATGAACATCTATTGATGGTGATTTGGGTGATGGTTTATTTTTGTTTTACCCACATTAAACCATAGTTTTACCGTTATACCCCACTTATTGGCCATCATTTTCCCAGCCGTTGCACGTCATCGCAGGGCGGCGAGCTTCATAGAATTGTGTACCCCTTATGGGCCTGCAGGCGCGCCATTCTTGGGATTGGACAACATTTGGTGGTTTCCATAGTCATGGGGGTACCACAATAGCTGGGTGGTTTATAGTCGAAAACCCGAAAATCAAATGGATGATTTAGGGATTGCCTCATTTTAGGAAACCTCCATATTTTCAGACAAACCCACATTGCCCGTCGTCTCAGTGAACATAACCACTTGGCTGTGCCAACGCTTGTCAAGCGAACAAAGTAAAGGGGGGTTCCTAAAATGGCGTACCCCAAACCTCTGGGTTTCAACACTAAAATAGTTTAATTTAATTTAGGACAATATCTGGGTACCCCCATGACTTAGAAACCCTCCACATTGAAAAGCTGATGTTTTTCTCGGTGGTTGACATGCGACTGGGGCTCAAAAAAAGTGGAGCCATTCAGACCTGTTTTTTTGGGGGTTCCCTGTCATTGCCTCCAGCCTCCAAGTACTGAAAGTTGCTGATTTGGTTTGGAAAATGTTGTTTTGCTTTTCACCCCATCCCATCTCTCTTTTGGGTTTTCCGGATGTCCTATTTCAATCCACCACAACAGCCAGCTCAGTGAGGGGAGTATCACGTATATGACAATATGTATGTATATATATATATGAATATTAATTTTAAAAAAAAATATATATATATATAAATAAATATATATATATACAAAGTGGTGCCCCCTAGTTATAAGTTGGTTTATAAACCCCATTAACTGTAGTTATATCTACTATAAACCATAGAATTCAGCCACTTCTAAGGCAACTTAGCTATCTAGGGGGCACCACATTGTAGGGGGGGTTCCTCAAATGGGGTTACCCCCAAAATCGTCCGAGATTTTGGGGAAGGTAAAGTATTTTTTGAAAAAGGTATTCTAGAGATTGAAGATTAAACGTGGCTCCCCCTAAAATGTGTTTCTCATATCTTGAAACCAGTACTTCTTAAAGTCCGGAGCTTTGCCCAACATATCTAGGTACATCATTCGTTCAACGCGTTTTTTCATGTGCACATTTTAATGGTTAAAACCAATGAACAAATCCTGCCGTTTACACATGATTTTCCCAAAGGTGGTCGCCCAAAACTTGACGGGATGTCTATTGGTCTATGTGACCCTCTGGAACTATGGTTATTTCATCACTATGATCTAAATATGGCTATAAACTATAATCACTATGATCTGACAATTTTTTCCAACAGTGAATCTTGTGAAATTTCCGCCAACTTAGCTATTCCAGCCTTGGGCCCCATATCGTTCTTGATGTGCCGCAATTCTATGCAGTTCTCTTGTTCAGCAGGGTGCTCCAGGACATGAAAGGGGGTCATCAATCTATGAACATACTGTGTCATAAAAAAATGTCATAAAAAAATGCTACAACATATTATCAGCCATTATTACCCATTAATGCTTCATTTTTTTTAAGTCTTATCCATTGGTTCACCATGATCCGACGATTTTTCATCCGGGATGCGGGGATTAATAGCAATCGATTTGGTAATGTTCAAATCATTTCCCTGCGTATGAAGGGATTATGAATCCTGCGTAAAAACTCCTATTGTTGATGATGAATCCGCAATATCCCAATGATAATCCCTATTGTTTATGCTTAAATTTCATAAAATATCCATGACATGTAGTTACCCTCTGGTGATCAGACGTGGCAGGGGAACATTCCCCAATGAAACTTACCGGGGGTTCTCCATTGCCAGGATTTATTACCACAGCGTGGTGCCCCCGTTCTCGATAGCTAAGTTGATTTAGAACTCCAATTTCACCATGATTTATGATACTGTACTTATGACTATAGTCTTTTTGGAGTTGATACACCAGCAAACATCACTGGGTGAATCCAGACCAATGACATGTGCTATACCAATAAGACCATAGACACCATGAACCAGCCATCGATAATCCATTACAATCCACTATATGTATATATATATACACACTATCATATCCACTATATACTACTGGGTAAACTATGAACCATATAACCAGACATGTAAAAGCATATACTATCCATATAATGTCATTGGATACTTATTTAGCCACAAGAAATCCACCTCTTTTTAGAACGTGGTGTTCCAGCATCCCGCAGGTGTTCCAGCGATTTTTCTTCCACCACCATGCCTGAAATCTTGGCTGAAGACTTCTGTGAAGCTGCAGCTCCAGAGGCGGGGCGATTTGCGATCGCTTACAGTTTGCAAAGTGGAAAATGGCCATTGTTCATAGGTCATAGCCATGGAAAATGACAATAGAAATAGTTGATTTACCCAGCGCGAAAATGGTGTTTTTAAGCATAGTTATGTAAACGTTTACCGGAGGGTAATGGTGATTAGACCACTGAAAGTGGTGATATCACGAAAGTTTTCACGGGAATATGCTGATATCATGGGACATGAGGGATTCACCTTGACCACTTTTAATTGGGGAATGCGTGAGATATCTTTTAGTGAAATAACTGAATGAATACAAACTACATCAAGGATCATCAATCCTAGGTGTCGAACATTGACCGACAATCATCCCAACTTCATGGGAAATAATCTTCCTGGCCATGTCAGGAACCGATTTATTGGAGGTACCTACCATATATAAGGCATATATAAGGCCTATGTGAGGGAATAACCACATAAAACCATTGAAAGCATAGTTTAAACAATCAAACCGTATTTTCAGTCAAATCCAAGTTGTTATGGAGTTCTTGTATCATGTTGTTTTTTTCAATGACATCTGGGTAAGAAATTTGTGATTTTCACCTACACAATGATTGGGACACTTGACTTTAAGCCAGCAAAAAAATGGTGGAAATGAAGAGATTTACCGATTTACCCAGCAAATTTGTGACAGAATGTGGTGAAGTCGTGTTTTTTTTGTTTTCTTTTCGCAACACATGAGTGATAAACCGGGTTGTTTCCCTTTCCCAGCTTCGCCCAAATCGTTGGGATTGGGGTGGCAAAAAGTGACCCACTGAGTCTGAAAATGACCCCTGGAACATGGCTTAGTTCTATGATTTAACATCATTCAGCTATGCATATGTTGTTTTTTCCATAGCAACTGTTAAATTACCAGAGAGTATCCAGTTGTTTGATGAATATCTTAGTATCTTTATTCTTGATTGTGATTGAGGGTCCCATATGTTTAGAACATAATTTTCTGTTTCGATCATGGCTGACTCAGCATTTTTGTGGATGAACCCCATGATTATTGGTTTATACGAAAGAAATGCTAGAGGTTTCCCAGCAGTTTCATTTGAAATTACATTTCCTTGTTGGTGAGAAATTGGGGAATATAGTCAGGGGTCATAGTTAACATTGATCCTATAGTTGGTTTATAAACCCCCAAATATGTTTTTAAATTTATTTCTCCGCCACATTTCGGGGAATGATGAATTCCTGTATGGTGGAAACTCTGAATTTCGACCATTCCAAACTTGGTGTACTGCCGCAAACACCCATGACTGGTTGGTGGTTTCAAACATGAATTTTATTTTCCATAAAAAGATAAACCTTCCCATTGACGAACTCATATTTTTCACAGGGGTGGCGAAAAACCACCAACCAGATGATGTTTTATGTTTTTTGTGTATTTTTATGGGTCAATTGAGTCGTTGCTTGCGTCGGTTTCCATTTCTTAATGGCTAGATTAAAAGCCAATTGAGTCATATCTTGATCCCGACTCCACGACAAGAAACCGGTCAGGTCACGGTGAGGCTAGCAAGTGAAGCGCAGAGGACATCTCGTGGTGAGTACATAGAATATATATATATATATACACACCATATAAGTATATACCCATACATATATACACAGATCTAGATATATAACATAAATATATATATGCTATATATATAGCATATAGATGATATAGATATAGATATATAGTTATATATATATAGCATATAGATAGATATATACATATATAATATATATATGCTATGTCTATATATATATATGCTATGTCTATATATATATCGCAGAGGACATCGCGAGTTGGAATAGAATCATCCCCAAACGGCCACAGATTCGACCTTATCCGCGAGTTGGTTATCTCTGCGAGACCACTTTGGTTAGAGGGAAAGGCCTTAATTCAGATTAGATAATTACGCAATTAATCTGTTTAATCTATCTATTGATCTATCCATCTATCTATCTATCTATCTGTCTGTCTATCTATCTATCTATCTATCTATCTTTTGATTTCCAGATATTATCGGCATATGGATATACCATGATATACGTGCGTTTATGATGGTACACGGAATAAACTTATTTCATAGAACAACGTTTAGTCCCGATAGGAATTGATGAGCAACTATTACAGCTGGTTGGTGGTTTGTTTTCTTTTGTTATTTTCCCATATATGGGGAATAATCATCCCAACTGACTTTCATGTTTTCAGGGGGGTAGGTATACCACCAACCAGACAGTAAATGGTGATAAAATGGGGACATAACCAACTAACAATAGTTGTAATGGATAGACACGAATACTGTATCATCCCTCGATCCTTTGCACTCCAAACCAGCAAAGCATTATGATGGAACATCAGTGCTTGGCGCGTTATGGTTTGCAGGACTGACCTGACTTTCGCAAGAACCATTGCGCTTGGCAATGGCATGGCTCACATGCAATTCTGACATTAGAGTATGACTGGAAAATCAACAGGTGCTGTGACGGCGTCCAATCTAAAAAGATTGTGTAATAGCAACACCTGCAGCCAGCTCAGCCAGCTGCGTTTTTTTTGTCACACGAGATGTTGTCAGAGAGTCTCGTCGAATGAAACAGCCGTGTGGGCTTGACCGTCGCCCGAGCTTGAAAATTGTCCCAGTTGCAGTGACTCACCAACGGTTGAGCAATTGCTCCCAATGAAATGACAATGCCGCAAATGAAATCAGAAACGCTGTCAAAAGCACCGCGCAATAATCTAGTTCCAGCATGTTCCAGCCTCATTTACATTCCGAGGACTGGGTTGATTTTTCTTCTGTCTTTATGGCCATGGTATGCCAGGTCCGCGGCTTTGTGTATTGCGCTCCACCTGTGCACTGATGTTGGATCCTGGATTGCCCAGGGTGTCTTCCAAAAGTACGACCCAGTGTGGGAACACGCCAGTGTTCATTGGTTTCTCGTGGCAGCAAAGATGCTTCCTTATTATGAAGCCGAGATATTTCTGAACATCATGTTATGTCCTAAACCTAAACACCCAGACTTTTGTGGTCCCAGACATGTCTTTTTATCCTCTACTAAACCTTGCTTTGGGGATGTTTAATATTGGGGGGAAGAGGTTAGTTTAGTCTGCAATAGTCAGTATTCCACATTTTTCCAGACTTGGGATATATTGCTGCCATTTGGGGCTAATGGTTTTGAAGCATTGCGTAAGCGTTGCCACACAGTTGCTGCCAGCAAATCCAAGCTTGGGCGCCTGAAGCAAGACATAGCTGACCTTTTGTTGGTAGACCTTGACCATTGGCAGGAACTGTTCAGAGATCAATGGTAATTTCAGGAACCGATTTATTGGAGGTACCTACCATATATAAGACATGTAAGGCCTATGTAAGGGAATATCCCCCCAAAATATGGCCAAAATTCGGAATGAGTTGAAAGCTTGCGTGTGTTTCCAGTGGGCAAGAACTGGTCAGACGAGCTATAGCATAGACATACGCTTCAGGGAATCTCTGGAAACAAGGACGACACCGACGATGATTAGGATTTGTTGAAGATACACATATATATTCTTTAGTTAGGGGTATATAAACCAAGTTGTTCCTTGGGGAGGCATCCTGTATATTATATACATACACACATGCAAGTATATTTATTTATGTTGGCATTGGAAGAGTGTCGATTTATATTCCCGTAAAAGTTGGTGTTTGGCTTTCAAAAGGAGGTGTCTTGTAGAAATTTGTGTTTACCTTGAAGCAGTAGTAGTTCAAGGCATGAGTAATGTCAAATCCATGTTGAAACAGTGTTTTTGGTTGGTCAAAGCCTATATTAAACCGCATTAAGCCTCAGTAGCATTAAGCCTCAGTAATCCTCACTAAAAGCCAGTAGCCCCCAGTAAAGCACCAGACAGCCCGCCTTTTTTTGCTTGTCGGATCCCTTTTCGTGTCGTTCAACGACCGGCCTAGCGATACCAGGACATGGCGCCCCAGTTGGACCTTGTCCGCAGATTTGGAGTTCTGCCTCTACGCGTCACCTGGCAAGGGATGTCTCCTGAAAAATTGATGGTTTAACGGGGGCTTAATGGGATTTAATGGGATGTAGCGTCATTTAATGATATACCCTATGGTAATTTGTTACAGTTTGCTATTGAAAATGGCCATTGAAATAGTGGATTTACCCAGCTAGAAAATGATAATTTTCCATAGTTATGTAAACGTTTGAGGGTAGTAGGATACATCTATGGTTAATCCCAACATACTTAACCATAGATGTTTTTCAACTCACCATGTCTGGAATCTGGTGGTTGGTGACAAAATGTTCTCTTCATGGTTTATTTCTGTGCTTTATCTATGGTTTTTCATGACGCTTGGGATACTTTTGGGATACAACCACCAACCAGGTGTTGATGTCCTGAACAAATGAGGAGTCCACCAAATGCATTCGTGGATATAGACAACAACTGGTTGGTGGTTTGGAACATGTTTATTTTCCATAATAAAAAAGGGATAATCCTTCCCATTGACTTTCATATTTTCAAGATGGTTAAAACCACCAACCAGACAAACATATGCTAGTTCTATGAGTCTACCATGACAAATATGTATTTACAATTATATGTTTGACCATTGTTTTTGGGATTTGCACAATGGGAAATTCATCAAATTGCGATATAACCAAGTTCAATCGAGGAATAGGAGTAAAGAATGAGACAAATAATGACACTGAGAAACCATGATAGAGAATTGGATTGTGTTTCACCATATGTTTGGACAAATTTATGTACCATCTGGTTATTTAACATAGCTATGGTAAATCCATGATAAATGGAGCTTTATAGCTGGGAACATCATCTGTAAATGGGCCATTCCCCGTAGCTATGTTAAATAACCAGAGGGTAGTTAGAATGGGACTCTACAACAATTGGGTAGCTCCAAATCCTCAGCTGACAATGGCCATGGTGTAGCATTGGACAAAGCTGGCAACGGACTTTGTCTCTCGTTTAGCATCCATTTGTTACCGGAAAAGAAAATCACTCTTCAAGTATAGAAAATCATGGAAATAGAGTCCATTTGTTACCGGAAAATCCATTTGTTTTGCAACGGTGTGCTATAGAAAATCACTCTTCTAAAGAGGTAATCAGGTAAATTCCAGGTCAATCATCTGTAAATGGACCATTTTTCATAGCCAACTGGTAAGTCGAAGGGTAAGGTTGCTAACGTTGACCTCTGCACATGGGGGAGGCAAAAAAGATAGGGGAATTGAACAAAATCGTGGCATTGAAGAGCCACATAACTGACATAGCTTTTGAAACAGCCCAATTTGCTCGATGATTTTCCTACTAAACATGGTGATTTTCCAGTTCGCAAAGTGTCAAATCACCATTACCATCTGGTGAAGAAATCCATTTGTTTTCAGGGGATGCCAGATATGTTCAATATGTTTGGCGCTGAACATCACAGGAATCTCTTGGAACTGGCTATCCCCATTTGTTTCTCCCCATTGGAGATGCGCTGCATTTGAAGCTGAGAAAAATCAATGTGGAATCAAATGTCAACAAATCAGCTGAAACGGATGGGATAAACCCCGAAAATTCGGAGGTCTATTGGGGAGAAAAAGCACTTGAGCCGCTTGAGATGTTAGGATAAGGTTAGGATTGCACAGCCAGGTTAGGATTTTTTTAGAGGCTAAAGCTAAAGCATAGTTTTTTTTTGTTGAGGTCAAGAGAGGCTTCTAGGTGCCGATTCGATGTCACCTTCAGTGATTGGAAGAGTATCTTCATGTCCTTATATCTTCATGACCTTATGTGATATACAGTAGGACATGTTCACTTAAGGCAACAATTAATAGTTTCATTGTTTGTGAGTTCTTTGTTGACCAGGGCCCCAGGGTTAACCACATGTGCAGTCCATCATTTTACCTCTGAAACATGCCATATATCATCATATATCCAGGGGGATTAAGTTGATGAATATACCAAGATCCATATACAGTATAGAGTCTATTTACTTTACTAAGTCGGTGCTAAGTTGGTTGTAAGTATATGTAGTTATATACAGTATGCCCTTTGGTAATTTAACATAACTATGGAAAATCACCATTTAGTTCGTGAATTGTCCCATGAAAAATGTGATTTTCCATAGTTATGTTAGTTTACCAGAGGGTATATCTCTATTAGATCCGTTAGTTGACTAACCCACCACCAACTTAGCTCAGTAGGGGCTACCACCGCTGCCTGGATCCACGTCTATCGCCGCGGCTCAGGAAGCTGGGAGGTCGAACGCCGATGTGCGAAAACCCAGAGATGGACAGGGGTTTCAATACAATAATGACATTGTTTTTGTTGGCCTTAAATGATGCTATAATATGCTATAGATGATGGTTGATGTTGATTTCTTGATTTCGGGGCTTGCCAATCATGACAATCCTTCCACGTGCTCCAGCTTGTCTTTGGGGAGCTTCTGCAGTCGAAAGACTACGCTTTGAAGCAGATCCGCTCCGTGCACTCCAGGCTCAAGTGGGGCAAAGGACTGTCGGCAATCAACCACCAAATCTGGGAATTGATCGACAAGGAACGTGAGAATCCCCTCCAGAAGCCTACCCTATACCAATTCTGGTTGTGGGCGCAGGAAACGATGTCCACAAAAACTACGGCTATGGCTGCACCTGGAGTTGCTGGACTTCAGCAACTGCAAGAAGCATTGCCAAGCCGTCGTTGTGCACTGTCGGTGGGGCAAAAACAGGAGCGCAGCCCTCTGCGTTCTGCTGTATGGGCTCTGGCACGGCAGATGGGGAAAAAATCGCAGTGCTGCCTTGGCCGTGTTCGTTTGAATCTGAGGCTTCTGAGGCTCTTCGACTTCATGAATCAACGCCGGACGAGAGAGGTCGTGTGTCACTGCCGATTCGGAAAGAATCGGTCCGCGGCACTATATCAGTTCTCCAGCGCTCGCTCTCCTGGAGCGAAGCAGTCACTTTGTTTGCATTTGATTTCGGTCACTGGTGATTGCTTGGACAATCAGTGTCTTGAGTCCTTCCTCACATCATTCTTTGAACGTAGCCGAGTGGCAGAGCTTCGAGATCCACAGATGCCATTTTCGACCCATTTTTTGTTTGGGATGATCGGATTATCCATGGGGAAATCCGTTAACCAGCCAGATTTTCAGGGAACGAAGTGGCTTTCAACATGGGATGTTGCCGACATGTATTTCATCCAACAGAAATGGTGGTATAAAACCAGCCATCCTGGTGATATCATCAGAGTGAATGTATTGTAAGAGGGAGAGATCTAACCTGTGACCCTCAGTGGTTGTATTGCCAGAGAATTTTCCAAACGCTGCCATTTGGGGGTCGCAAAGAATTTGTGTTTGGGTTCATGTGGGGTCTAGGTATAACGTTGTTTTACTCAGCTATAGCAAAGATACCCATGCTGGGGTTTCTCTAAAAACATGGTGCAGCCATGTGCAACCTAAATTCCATTGGCCAAATAAATGCCTTTTATTTTGATTTTAACCAGGTATTTATTTTAAACGGCATTTATTCCAATAGATACATGCTTAGTAAACGTTTAAACGTTTCCGTTTTTCAATTTGGCATGTATCTATTCGGAACCTTAAATGGGTTACACCTGGACCATTTGATTTTTAAGGGTGTTGATATCAACCGGGGATGGGATTAGATAAGTTATATGATGATCCAGTGGTATAGTGTTATAACATGTGGTATATACAAAAGTGTTATACTGTGTGATATAAATGGGATTAACTATGTGGTATAGTGTTAAATTTCTAATACCTTGTGGGAAAATATCATATTATACTTATATTATTTTAGATACCACTATACCATGTTATATTAAATAAGATATAAATATCATGTGGTATAGTGGTGTTAAGTTATATATGACCAATTGTTGATCCAGGTTAGTCATAGGATTTTGACTAAAAAACGATCAAATTTAATGTTTTGAGTTTTCGACATGTTCTTGGGAGAGGTGGTCTAGTTACTGTATCCGAACTATAGCGTCCGGCGGACAAACGGACAGCCATGTGCTACCTCTTCCTACCCAGGCCGTCCTGCCTTCCTAGCAACAGGGTTTCGGTGAGGTCATCGAAGGTTATCTTGCCATCAAACAACTCCTCTGGGGTATGATATGGTGATCTATATATACTCAGATGGGGCAGCATAGACCAACTAACGTACCCTCTGGTAAACTAACATAACTATGGCAAATCACACTTTTTTGAAATGGGCAAATCAACTATAAATTGCAATTTTCCATAGCTATGTTAAATTACCAAAGGGTATGGTGAACTATATTACTTGTTCATCTTATTCATTTGGTGAACAATTCACCGTCAGCATCCCAATATCCAAGCTGTGATTAGGTCAAATTGTTAAGATGCTGGATATGCAGCAATAATAGTGCTCAGTGACGATAGAGGTTTTTTCAATCATGGTCACAGGGTCCATGTTTGATATTAACAATTTCCAACGATAGTAATGGTCCAAAAACAATGAGGTTTCTCTCGACCTGCCTCTGTATTGGTTCGACCATAGCATATGGGTTTGAAAAACAACTAGCCCATTCCATCCAATGGTTAATTCGCACATAATCCCTTTGAAGAAGTGGGCAGTTTTTGGTGGTATACCATCCAGTGGTATCCATCTATGGATAACTCCAATGGTAGAAATAGTACTAAATTTGCACAGATGAGTGTATGGTTAACCAGAAAACAGCCATGTCCACAAGTTGGTTAACCTATGACCAAGGGTTGATGGTAATTATTTGGCCACAATTAGATAGGGTTCTCTCAACTTTGCCGGCTAAGACTCACTAAAACATATATCAACTTAGCCCATCTAAGCCTAGGACATCCAAATAGATCCCATTAAATCGCCATTACATCACCATAACTGTGGGGTTAGTATTGTATCCAATGGTGATTTAATGGTGATTAATCTACAACAATGTTATTTTCATGTATTTGCTGCTTAAGTACCTCACTTGAGCAGTGTTCAAAACCCCTGTTGGTTGATGATTATTTCGGGGATTAAACTACAGTACCCAATAGATTGGGGATTACAATAATCCAAAAACGGGGAATTCCTATAAACCAACCAGTATAAATAGTGATTCCCCTATTGGACCATTGAACCAGAACAAAAACTGGATTATCACTATTAACCAGTGTTCAACCAACCAGTGTATAATGGAATAATCATCACTATCAATTGAAGTGAGCACACTTAAAATCACCATTAAATCAGCATTAAATCCCATTAAATCACCATTAAATCACAATTAAATCACCATTAAATCACCATTAAATCCCATTATTTTCCATTAAATCCCCATTAAATCACCATTTTGATGGAGAGATTTTGAACACGGCCCACTTCAACAACGAGAAGCCGGCACTCCCCAGACACCGGACACCAACGGCAGCCGAGGTGGGAGATCCACCGACGGCAAGCCTTCTCCTCCAAAGAAGGTGCTGAGTTTGAAAGACCAATGCATTGGTGTATGTTTGTAAATATAAATAAATATATATACACTTATTGATTTATGATTGATAGATAGATAAATAGATAGATAGATAGATAGGTAGATAGATAGATAGATAGATATGTGAACAAACATATGGAAGTTGTTTGCATGGTGTAATGGATGATAGATTAGAATATATATATATATAGTCATCGTGAACCAGAGAGAATGTCAATAATTCAATGTCATAGTGCCTTGGTGACTGGAAACTTCAACACAGATGTGTCTCCATGAATGATGACTGGCAACAGAAGGATACACAATTATTTTGCCTTTCTGGTTAAAACAGCAGTTATCTATAGATATCCATCTATTCTATAACCCATGGATCTATTACGTAACATTCGAAGTATAAAAAAAGTAGACGATTCATCTATTGTCTAGCTACTCGTAATACACAGTTTGTGTCCATTCTTTTCTTTGATGGGGTCATATCCAATACCATTTTTACGTCCGGAAGCTTCTCGCAACCTATGAACTTGCCACAGTTCTAAATCTCAGACGCTCCGTGGTACCATTATTTGCCCCTTAAAAATTCACCCAATCGTAGGTACCTAAAACCATACATGGACCATATTGAGAACAATCCTACGATCATGTTTTGTGTTTTGTTTACCATTTATAGATATAAGCTCACCCAATTTTTAGCCCCTTTTTCCCAAGAGCGTTTGAGCGAAGGGTTCTTCTAATAGTGGGGGTCTGTCAAACATTTTCACATCTTGACATCTTCACATGACATCTTCAAATCTTCAAATCTTCCCATCTTCTCATCCTCACATCCTCATCTTCTCATCTTCTCATCGCCTGCCTATAATAGATCTTTAATATATTGTCTTGTAATATAGTGTCTCAATACCAACAACAGAAGACCCTGCTCCTCTACGCTCTCGGGCCATCCGTCGCCTAGTAGCCCCTTTATAGATCTTTCATTCCATCCTCCCACCCAACAGCTCAATTAGTTTCCACTAGCATAGCATGCATAGCACCCAAAAACATCAGTTTCGAAGATCTTTTTGCAACCAAAAAGATAGAACCTATGCAATTTATCTCTGTTTTTTTAAAAGAACTGCATTGGATCAATGGGAATTCCAGGATCCATCAGGATGGAGGTACGTAAATGTACCATATTTCAGGCCATATTTTGCGGGTATATCCCTTGAAATTTAGCCCTAAAAAATAGACCTTAACAGTATTTTTGTGGTACCTCCAGTTTTTCTCGGTTCCTGTTGCATGGCCATTGGATCCCAACTTATAACTCTCCTAAAACACACAACTGTCCCCCCTTTTTTCCGGACGCAAAGCGGCTCAGATCCCGCGTCCAGGTTTGGTGCCGGGACATCCCTTGGGCTGTTTGATGCGCGGCAAACCCTCGGAACTCCTCACAGGCTCGAGAAACGTTGGAATGGTTAAGGATGGTTTATGATTCATATATTGAGGTAGATATGTTTGTTTCCTTCAAGTATATAATATATAATAATATATAGTATTACATATTTAAACTTACATATGTACATATATATTTATATATACACATACTATTGTTGATGCTTAGGTAGTAACTGGTTGATAAGTAATGATGGATGATGATTGATAGTTGAGAAGAACCGATAGTATGATAGCTGACTTAATGGCGACGTTTATGTGTATTATTGGTCAAACATGATAAATCATGATTATAAATGGTGATGAATACCCATTGATTGTTAGTAGCGCCTGAATGATCCCCTCTTGTTCAAGGGTGCATTCCACGAATCGAAAGTGGCTAGTAAATCAATGTAATCATATATAAACATGTTCCAAATATAACTGGTTCAAAACATTGTTCTTGCCCACTGACAGACGATGATACGTGAGATCGTTATTGGAATCTATCCGACAAATATATAAGATATCAACCTTATTGGGACATCCTTTTATATTTCATAAAATATAATTATATAATATATTTGGATATCAAACTACTGGTGGATATCAACCTTATTGGGCTGAGTACTTTTTGTTTATCCAAACTAGTGGATTTTCGGCCAACTACGTGGTGGTTTCTCAGTAAGGTTCGATCAACATTTTTCGGGATGGACAGGGAAGTCGTCTCGCACATGGGAATGGTAAGCCAATATTGACAGGTAAACAAAGCTCCTTAACAGATGGTTATAGATGGTTATCATGCTAAAGCCCATTAATATCTATGGAATTCTATGGAAACAAATGGTTATAGAATGTTATAGATAGTTGTAAATGCGGTTATCATGCTATCATTCCACAAATGTGCGCAAATAACTGACGGCCATAACTGTAGTGCTGAGCGGAAAGAACCTGTGTCGCAGATGGGGCAAAGTTGAGAAGTTCCAAAAGGGTTTGCAGAGCGTGGCCACATTTTGTGCTTCCTGACTGAGAAATGTGAAACCATCCAGTAGATCTGATTCTTGTTGGGTTGCCTGGTGACACACCTGTTTGGTCAAAAATCAATTACTTTCTTGGAATTATCCCCACCAACTGACATTCTATCTGACATGTTATCTGACATTTATCTTGACATTTATTTTGACATTCTATCTGGCAGTTTTTTGGCATTAATATTCGGGTAAACTAACATAGCTTTGGAAAATCACTTTTTTTTTTAAATGGGTAAATCAACTATATCTATGGCCATTTTCAAACCAGATGGTAATCGAAGGAAGTTTAGAAGTCAAACTTCCGACAATATGGACAGATGAAAAGCAGAGCAGGGAAGGGTCAGAGAGAAGAGAAAGATTAGAAGAGAGAAGAGTAGAAGAGAAAGAGTCAGAAGAAAGAAGATGCAGATGCGCGAAAAGGTAGGAAAGTCGCGAAACACTGTGTTTTCCAATGATTTGTGGCGCCGGAGGGTCGAAAAGTAGGCTCGCTAAAGCGGCGGGTGCGGAGCCAGCTGGCCACAGGAGCGATGCAAAATTGCACGCCGTTGTGGCGCGAAGCACATTTCCAAGTCAAAATGTACAAAACACCAGGGGTTCGGACCACTTTTGGAAGTTGAGATGTCGAAAAAGTGCACGCCGTTGTGGCGCGAAGCACATTTCCAAGTCAAAATGTACAAAACACCTCAGCTCCGGACCACTTTTGGAAGTTGCGATGTCGAAAAAGTGCACGCCGTTGTGGCGCGAAGCACATTTCCAAGTCAAAATGTACAAAACACTAGGGGTTCGGACCACTTTTGGAAGTTGCGATGTCGAAAAAGTGCACGCCGTTGTGGGCGAAGCACATTTCCAAGTCAAAATGTACAAAACACACCATTCTCGGACCACTTTTGGAGTTTCAGATGTCGAAAAAGTGTCTAAAAAATGCACGCCGTTGTGGCGCGAAGCACATTTCGAAGTCAAAAGTGTAAAAAAACTGATGGTTTTGAGCCTTTTTTTGACGTGAAGATGTCGAAAAAGTAGACACTGATTAACTTAACTAACTTGACTAACTTAACTAACTTCACTAACTTAACTACCCTAACTTCGACGACAACAGCAACAGCAACAACAACAACAACAACACCAACCACAACAACTACAACTACAACAACTACAACTACAACAACTACACAACAACTAGAACTACAACTAGAACTACAACTACAACAACTACAACAACAGCAGCAACAACAACAACAGCAACAACAACAACAACAACAACTACAACTACAACTACACAACAACTACAACTAGAACTACAACTACAACAACTACAGCTACAACAACAACAACAACTACAACTACAACAACAACAACTACTACTACAACAACAGGAACAACAACAACTACTACAACAACAACAACTACTACTACTACTACAACTACAACTACACTACACAACAACTACAACCACACAACAACTACAGCTACAACTACAACAGCAACAACGACAACAACAACAACAACAACTACAACTACAAAACAACTAGTTACAACTATATGACTGCAACTACACTACACTAATTACATTACACCACAACTACAACTCCACTACGCTACAACTACAACTACAGTTGCAGTACATCACACTACATCCAGCAGTTGTGGGCGAGGTGACCACTGCAACCATTGCAACCATTCCAGCAAACACAACTCCAACCACCTTTCGGTCAATCAGTGGATTCGCTCTGCCATCCGTGATTCACAACAACGACGTCTCCTATAGGTTTCCTATTCTGAAACTTCCGCCACCGCCTTGTGCGGTACTACTGGTATTCTGGCATTCTACTGGTCCTCGGGTCCACCACGGCATCCAGCGCTTGCATCTTTGCGCAGTGCCAGACTGTGTCGTAGCCATCCCGTGGACGGTGATGGAAGAGCTGCGTGCGACCAGTGGATGCAAGTCACGCGGTGAACTAAGAGAGATCTACCCTCTGGTTATTTAACATAGCCATGGAAAATGGCCCATTTATACATGGTTTACCTATTAAAAACGGTGATTTTCCATGGCAATGTTAAATAGCCAGATGGTATGTTTTTTCAGTACTTTACACAGGAAGTTGGGCAACAAAATGGCTGACCAGGAACTTGAGCGAAGCTGAATTCAATCAGCAAGTTGGCGGTGCCAAAAAAACGAGGAGTGTAGATGGGTCGCAGCATGCAAAACATTGGATGGGATTGGATGGCATCAGAAGGTTTGCAATCATTCCCATAGGATCCATGTATGGTATATATATATGCTAACATTTGGGGTATATCGATGGTAAATGTTAGCATATATAGCATACATGGATCCTATGGGATTGGACCAGGTAAACGATCCCATCATTTGCGGCGGAACACTCATGCTAGGGTGCCTACGACGCCAGCGCATCGTGGCGCCCAGGAGCATTGATCCATTTGAACTTTAATGGGATAATCTAAGAATATTTACAGATCATCTTCGTTGCGGAGCGTTTGGCTCTCTTCACGCCATCACTGTTCCCATGCCTGCCACTTATTGTCATATATTTTCCATTGGAGGACTTGGTACAGATCAGATGATTATAGAATTTCAACTGGGACTATCCCATCAATATTCATTGTCCCAAGATAATATTATCCCATTTGAACAATATTGTCTCAAGATTATCCGAGGTTACAGATCATTTACATAACCTATTGAAAATGATCATCTGTTGTTGATTTACCGAACCTAGAAATGGTGATTTTCTATAGCAAACTGTTGTAAATGGTGATTTTCTATAGTTGATTTGCAAACTTTTGATTTGCCTCTTATAAATGGTGATTTTCCATCGTTCACCAGATATCCCATGTTTTTCACCACCTCCCCCATCTCCTTCATCTCCTTGCGCGCCTTCCAGGTGCGGCCCCTGCTGCGACGACGGGGAACCCCCGCGCTTCACCGGAGCCTCGCCGGGGCGCTGTGCAAGAGACGCGGTGACGCGGCTGGAAGTTGCTTGGGGGTTATGATTAACAGTATGTTATAGTATGTTATAGTGATTTAACCCCCAAACCACAAGATAGTTAAAACATGGTGAACAATAGTGGTTATAATGGTGTTATAGTATTAATCTTGTGGTAGTTATCTTGTGGTAGTTAGAATATGTTGTATTGATTTCATAGTGGTTAATAATGGAGAATAGTGGTTTTATAGTGGTTTTATAGTGGTTAATAGTGGTTATAGTGGTTATAGTGGTTATAGATCGACCATTAACAATATTGGTTAGTTCTTAGCTATATTGTGAATATTATCGACCATTAACAATAGTTATAGTGGTTTTATTGGCTATAATGTTGGGGTCATATTGTTCATGGTTGATTACAATAAACCACATATACTACAGGTTGATTATTTAATACTGGATATAATAACGGTTGGTATAACTTGTTCATTGGCTGATGTTCCATTGATATAATAAAGGTTGATATGATTGTTGACCATCTAAACTGGATAGTTCAGAACCCAAAATCAACAAATTGGATTTTTTCAAACCAATATAATGTTGGATATGTTGGGGTGTTTTTACAAAGGGTGCTTTCATAACACGCCATGAACGAAGAATAAACTTTTCTTTCAATTGTTCGATATATCCTCCGATAATCTCAACATCCATTGGTTTATTAGGTGCACCAGCCGTTGGCTATCGACTGGGGGGCCTCACGTTGTGGTCATAGTGGTTCATAATAAAAAAGTGGTTGACTATGATAATGTTGGGGTTATTATATATATGATTATAATGTCGGGATTGTCTTATGAATGTTTGATCGTAATAATGGTGATTATAAGTGTTGATTATGATTCATTATAATATGTAATGGCTTGATTTTGCTCCTGGAAATATCATGGGATGATCCAATAGAATCTACCCTCAGGTGTCATTGGCTTCTAATAATGTTGGGGTTATATGGCCAGATTTAGCAAACTATGTGAACGATGTGGGCGGAGCAAGCAGAAGGTGGGGCACTTGGCGGTCATTGGGATGCAGCAATCATGGGGTGTGAATTACCCTCTGGTTATTTAACATAGCCGTGGAAAATGGTTCATTTATAGATGATTTTCCCATTAAAAACTTCCATCTATAAGGGATTTTCCATGGCTATGTTAGTCATAACCAGAGGGTATCCAGGAGATCCATCAGAAGAGGACCAAGACCAATGGCCAGAGCCATTTCTGATTGGAGAGCAGTCCATGGCCATTTCTGAATCCTCCGGAGCCACCTGAAGCCAGGCACCGCAAGACCCCAGGAAACCGCAAGGCCATGGTTTGATCCAATCAACGAATGATTGGCCGTTTGCCCTCGTGATATCCTCATTTCCCCCATGACTTTGCACAGTATGTTGTGTCAATGTTCGATCAATCCAAGGATGGAGCCACAATCGAAGAAGTCGCAATCCAAAGGGGCGCTGCCGATCACCTGATTTTTCCCCTAGTTCACTTAGTGACACAGCCTGATGATAAGTTGCCCCCCCCATTTTTGTATATTGTATACCTTCTGGAAAACTAACATAAGCTTCGGAAAATATTCACTTATAGATGATTTACCTATTAAACATAGTGATGTTCCACAATTAGGTTAGCTTACTGGAGGGTATCGAAATTCCCATTTTGATGGCGAAAAGTGGCTAAGACACAGTTGTGTACGTATGTATGCCCAGCACGTGATATCGAAAGTGTAGCCATCTAACTATGTCAACATGTCACCATATCAGAATTCACCTAGTTATAAACATGTATAAACCAATTGGTTTAGTTATTATGTTATTTCTTAAGCCAACTCAACTATGATAAACCAAGAATATATATGTATATATCACATATATATATATGTAAATGTATGTATATTCTCAATTTTGTGGATCACATATCCCCAGGTATCCGGTGCAGTTGGCCAAAGAACCATGGATTCCTCCGGCAATGCCCATGGAGCAGGCAGGGGATCCGGGACAGGCGGACAGGCCGCCAGGTGGCTGGATTTCGTTGGAATTCACCTGTCATGGTGATGCAAAATGGTGATTTCATGGTGACTTTATGGGATTTTATAGTGATTTATGGTATTTTATCGGAATTCTATGGAATTTTGTGGTAACTTTATGGTGATTGAATGGGACTTGTGATGAATTTTACTATCGATTCACATTTCGAACAGTCTACCAACATGGTGGATGAACGAGGAAAACACGGAGCAAATGGTTTGGAACATTGGTGAAATGTATGGGGTAATGATGGTTAATGATGGTCAATATATGGTTAATATATGGGTATTATATGGGATTATAATGGGATAATCATCTTTATAATGGGATGATATACCAATAATGATGTTTAATGATGGTTAATCATGGTTAATAATCACTGGTTGGTGCTTTGGAACATGCATGGATTATGACTTTCCCATCATTTTGGGAATTTCATCATTTCATCATCCCAACTGACGAACTCATATTTTCAGAGGGGTGGCTCAACCACCAACCAGATAACTATGGGATACACTCAAGTACTCGGATGACCCATGTGAGCAGTAAAACTCCTGCTGGTTGATGATTGGTTAGGGTGGTATACCACCCGTTCTTTGATTGGTGATTCTCATAATCTAACAGTGTAATATGGATAATCACCAAAAATGAAGTTATTCTAGAAGTTTAATATAAAGTTATTCTATAAGTTATTTTTTTGGTTATTTAATCCATGAACTGGCAATCCACTCCTCAACCGTCAAATGGACAACACAGGCTCACGTTGTTGGAGATACTTGGTGCTCCGCAGGCCATTTTGGCTGATCTCGGAATTGTCAAGGACTTCATCAGGGAGCGGCGACAGAAGGCCGACTGCTCAGTGATATGGGAGGATGTTCTCATATGCAGCATCCGCATCACGGAATGCGGTGCGCTTGGCTTGTCTCTGATCCACCCTCCGACATCTCAGCCCAATCTTTTGGCGTTGACGGAGACCTGTGCTGGTTTGGGTGCTTTGGGATTGGGAGCTCAATATGCTGGATGGCAAGTAGTTGCCCAGAATGACATCAACGAGAAGTTCACCGAGCATCAGACCAGGTATGGGAAGATACCAGTTGTGACAGGTGACATAGCAGACATGAAAACCGTGTCAGCCCTTCACCATGCACATTCAACCTCAGGCACGATAGCATTTGGCTTTTCCTGCCAAACATACAGCACAGCAGGTGATCAAAAGCATGGACTTGACCCACGATCAGACAGTCTTCCAGCCGGATTGTATGCATCACATTTGCTGCACTTCACAAAGAAATCATAATATGTGAGTACGTCACAGGTGCAGCCACTTCCAAGCATGTGCTTGCATGTCTGGACTATCATATGCAGATGACACATTGGTGGATCGAATTTGATAAACCCAGAGCAATGTTTGTTGGTTTATGTAAACCCACCTAGTTTCGCTCATTTCATCACCGGTCACCCTTGTTGATCAAAGTATTTGCACCTAGCAGTGAAACATCCACTTCAGCTTGTTGGAGGAAAGGGTAAACACCATGGCGTCCTGCAACGCAGGAGGGGCTGGTGACATATCTGAGATATCTTTGGAGCTGAAATCTCTTGAAATGAATAGAAACTTTGGAGCTTGACATGCCAGGTTTTTGCTTGAACATGGACCAAATTGGTTTGAGAGAAAACCATTTTTTGAGCCTAAAAAAAACGCTGGTTGTTTTAGAGGGTTGGTAAATTACGACGTTGTGGGGATGATTGACCTAACCGGTAAAGTAGCTCTTTTGATTGGTGAATACGGATGGCTTCTGAACTTACTTGGTTCAATGCTGATTATGAACTCACCCATAGTTCAGATACGGTGATACCTACGTTCGGTGGTGCCCCCCAAACATGATTATTGGTTTATAAACCCCAGGAACCATAGATATATCACCTAGAAACTATAAACCATAGTTATTGCCAATAATAAACCAACTGAACGCTACCGACTTGGGGTAGCACCTTGTATCAACCAGTACAATGGGATGGGATATGGCTACGGCTCATGGCTCGATCCGTGGATGGGTCGATGACATTGGTCGATTGGTATCCAGCATTTTTTGTCGCCAGGTTATGAAACATTGATATGAGTGTAGCGTTGGTTCAATCAGCATAATTAAAATCACATATCCATACATATCCCATGATTAGTTATCTAATGATAGAACATGCAACAATGATCCGTTATATATCATGATCACCATGGATTTTATGTTTCTTTCCAGCGCTGTTTTTTTTGCAAAACTGGGCAGCACAACATGGTCATTTCGACCTTCATCCCATGTTGTGACCATGGCGGCCCATGGCACAAATCGTGGTTTTCTAACGGATGTTTTCATGGGTTACATCTCCGGTAAGCGTTTACAGTTTGCGAACTGGAAGCTATGGCCCAGTCGAAATCGTGGATTTTCCCATTTTCATAGCATAATGGCCATAGAAATCGTGGATTTTCCCATGTATAGCATGGTGATTGTCCAGTTCGCAAACTGTTAGTCATTACCAGGCCGGGTACATCTACGGATTTTTGGGGGATTATCCTGGAGGTGTCAACTGGTGGTTGGAAATCAAGTGTGATAATAAAGTGATACTCCAACAACTAAGGTTTATGGTAGATGTATCTATAGTTACTGTGCTTATCTGCGGTTTACCAACATAACAGGGGGTCACCACCCTTGTACTATACGACCATTATAAGCCAATTTAATTACCATATTAGCCATTACTACAGCCATTATATAAAGACCATTAAAGCTATATGGCTATGTGGTATATATGGCCATGAATGGTATATAACCTATGTATGACTATATGACCCTTATAGCCACTATATAAGGACCATTAACCACTTGATAACAATCTAATACAAGTTCTGAGGAAACTCTCCCGGTAATTCCTCGCAGGTGCCCTTCGCTCACCCGCAGGCCATGTGCCAAACGTTAT